CCCCGCCGATCGCAAGGATCTCGAGAATCTGGTGGGAAAGAACTGGAACGACTATGTTGTGGCCCCGTACAACAGCTGGGATACCGTCCAGCTCAGCAAGTATCTGCAGGACAAAGGCAAACAGTCCCAGGCCGACGTCGAATCTGCCAAGGACAGCCTTGTCGAGCAGGTCAAGAACAACTGGTACGAAACCGAAGACAATTCCTACCAGGCCTGGAACAACGTGAAGGATTGGATTCTCGATACTTGGACCGACAGCCAGTTGAAGGCTTTCGCCGACAAGCATAGTATCCCTGGTTTGTCCATCTACCTCGTTGAGTCGCATGAGCTGCACTAACTAGCGCTTGACAGTCCCCCAGCCTCGTCACCGTGATACCCTTCTCCAGAAATCTCGCCAGTCCTACGAATCCATTGCCAAAAAGCTTGGAGAGGCTGCACAGTACCCTGGAGACTGGCTGTATCAGACCTGGACAGAATCTGAGCTGAAAGAGTGGCTTGATACGAATGGATTCCCCGCCCCTCAACCCACCAGTCGTGATAAGCTTGTCGCATCTGTCCGTCGCAACGCACGTCTTGCCTACCTCAGATCCCGAGACCAGGCCGCTAGCGCTACAGCCAGCGCTCAGGCTGCCTATGCCACCTTGACTGATATCATTATTGATGCCTGGAGCGAGTCCCAGCTCAAGGCGTTTTGTGATAAGAATGCCATTCCTGTTCCCCAGGGTACTAAAGCCAACGAACTGCGTGCTCTGGTTCGCAAGCACCGAGCTGCTATCCTTGGCAATACCGTTGTCTCAAGCGCCTCATCAGCCTTTGGGGCTGCCACTTCCAATGTACAGAATGAATATGCCAAGGCAACTGACCGTGTCTATCTGGCCGCTGACCACGTCTTTGGCAACGCTGTCGATATCTGGTCTGAAAGCCGCTTGAAGGCCTACCTTGACGCCCGAGGCGTCCCAGTCCCTCATGGGTCCACCACAGACGAGCTGCGGGCTTTGGTTCGAAAGAACACTCACAAGGCTGCTTCTGGATGGAGTGCTTGGACTTTTGACGACCTTTCATACGACAACCTGAAGAACTACCTCCAGAAGAATGGTGATGCCGCAGCAAAGAAGGCCGCCGACAAGAAGGATGCCACTCGCGATGAGCTTGTCAGCGCAGCCCAATCTGCATACTCCTCCGCTTCTACTGCTGGAGGTGACACATATGCCTCCGCTACTAGCTATCTCGTGTCTGCTACCGATGCTGCCAAGAACCACGCGTTTGAGACCTGGACTGAGTCTGATCTCAAGGCATACCTTGATAGCTATGGTATCCCCGTTCACCAAGGAACCAAGGTTGAGGAACTCAGGGCCATGGCGCGCAAGCAATGGACCTTCTTCAAGTACGGAACTTCCACGCCATCTGAGACTCTTTTCGCTAAGTTCGAGGAGTCTGCTAAGGAAGGCTGGAACTGGGTTGCCAACCAACTCAATCTTGGAGGCCAAACTGCCAAGCAGAAGGCAGCCGAGGCCGAGGAGAAACTGAGGCAAGAGCTGTAAAGTACGAAAAAGAAGGATTTTTTGTACTTTTAACTTGATCCTATCCTCTAGAAACATCGAAGTGAACGGGGTGAGGATACATCTCCGTTCTTCCACGATGGTTCATGGGTAAATGAATTATGGACACGCGATTGATATTGTTAGTTCTGGTCCTTTAGGGAAGCACTTTTTTTTACAGTGGAGGGGGTTTTCCTCCAAAAACAACATGGCTTAGAGTTATGAAGTTTGTTATCCTAATTCCATCCTTTATTGCAGTCGATTCCGTTCACCATAATGATGTGCAAGAAAATTGATGCCCGTCGTTTCAGCTACGTGACCCTCACACATATTGTTGCTAGATGTACTCAGTCATAGTGTTTCCCTCTTAATATTGTATGTCTGGAAGATGCATTGTAGTTTATTTTATTTATATATTCAGCAATTCCATTTTCCAACGCCAGCGCTATTAGGTTATTGAATCTGCTGCGAGCCACGAGGCAATTGGATATATTGCCATGTAACCACACCCATATCCAACTTATTCCCAAACAAAATCGACACTATACCGCATGTCCTTCTTTTTCGTGTGTCCGTGTCCCATCCTAAGCCCAGAGCCGGCAGGTCCCGTCCGCGCCCGCGCTTATGCACCAGGGGTGCCGGGGGTGCCAGTCGACGTCGAGGACGCCGAGCTTGCTGACGATCTTGTGGCCCCTGAGCATCTTGACGGGGACGATGGTGGCGTTCTCCATGAGGTCGCTGACGACCTTGCCGTGGAAGATCTGGAGGGAGCCGTCGTCGCTGGCGTCGGCGAAGAGGGGCAGGGCGCGGTGGTACCTGACGGCGCGGACGGCCTCGGTGTGGAAGCGCATGGTCTTGTAGGGGCGGGTGGAGAGGTCGAGGTCGTGCCAGAGGAGGCGGCGGTCGTAGGAGCCGACGATGAGGTTGTCGCCGCCCGGGTGGACGTCGAAGCCGGAGATCCAGCGGGCGCCGGGCTGGAGGATCTTGACGAGCTCCTGGCGCTGGAGGTCGTAGCAGCGGATCATGCGCTGGGTGGCGACGAAGAAGTAGGGGCGGGAGGGGTGGAAGTGGGCGGCCTGGGCGAGGCCGGGGAGGCGGCGGAAGGGGATCTGGCTGAGGTGCTTGGAGAGGGTGTGGACGGCGACGGAGCTGCGCTGGCCGGTGGGGGAGACGGTGCAGAGGAAGTCGCCGCGGCGGTGCCAGCTGAGGGTCTTGATGGCTGAGCGGACCGTGGCCTTGAGGAGGACGCCGGCGGCTTCGAGCTTGGAGCCCGGTCTGGACCACTTGGCTGGGGGTTCCTTCTTGGCGCCGTCGGCCGTCGTGGGGACGGCTCCGTTGGTGGCGTGGCCGAAGCCGAGGTCGATGACGTCTCTGCTGGCCTTCTCTAATGCACCGCTGACCAGGGGGGGCACGGCGAAGAAGATGTCCTCGCCAGCAACGGCAGCAAGGATGAAGGTGTCCTTGTTGGGGCGCCACCTGACGACCTGGACGGGTTCCTCGGTGCTGATACGGGCAACCCACTCTTGATGACCGTTGAGTGACCAGACGCGGACAGTGCCGTCGTCGCCGCCAGAGGCAATCCACTCTCCGTCAGGGCTGAAGGAGACGGTGCGTACACGGCCCTCGTGTCCCTTGAAGATGGCCTGGCAGACAGTTGGGAAAGGCTTAAGCTCCTCTGGGCTGGGGAGTTTGGGCAGCAATGAGTTGGGGTCGATGTTGAGCCTGTTTTTGCGCACTCTGGGAGCAAGATAGAGGTCGAGACTGCGCTCGAACCTCTCCTTGACAAACTCTCCGTATCCGGGAACCTTGCGCAGGGCATCGAACTTGGCTGGCAAGTACTCCTTCTCGCGCTCTTCGGGATCCATCTTTTCCCAGGCCTCCTTCTCCTCCTGCGTGGGCAGGTACTCCGGAGGCGGGTTGTAACTGAGGTCGTAGCCAGGAGGTGCCAGCTTGGGGGCGGGGATGTTCATGATGTGGCGTTCCTGAGCCTCCTCGTTTGCCCAGATGTCGTAGTGGACCTCCTCCTCCTCACCCTTCTCTCGTTCTCGCTCCTCGGGAGGCTTGTATGGCAGGATTCTTCCTTCCTTAATAGCCCGGACAAGTTTTGCGACCCGCTTAGCTTCGTGCTTGGATGGGAGGAAGCGTCGCTTGGGTTCGGGAGCGGAGCTGAGAGGCATCTTCTCCTCGATGCTTGTGAAGTAAGGAATCAGATCCTGACATTGGTTTGTTAGTAACTGATCAAAATGGTATGGACAGTTCTATAGTGGTGAATGCCTACGGGATATGGGTCATAGTTCTCCTCTGGGATCTGCGAAGTCTGGAGGCGGCGAAGCAATTCCAGCTGCTCCCGGGTGAGCTCCAAGGGCTTTCCGGTCTGGGGATCTGTGAGACCTGTCCATCCCTTGGGGATTTCAATGGTTTCCAGGAGTGCGTCGAGGGCATCTCCAGTCGCAGGGCGCATGATCTTCTTTCCATTGATATCATAACCGATGTGAGGGTAGGAGTCGTAGAAAGACAGCGGGATGTTTCCAATGGTATTGCCCTTCTCGTTGGCGTCAGAGTCGTCGCTGTCGTAGACAGGATCGATCTCGGCATACTCGTATCGCTCATTGCCATTGGCGTCCTTCACGACCTTGTAATTGGGCTTCGATTCGTCGTCATCTGCGCTAGAAATACTCGTAGCGTCGAAGTCGTTGCCAACATCATCGTCATCGGGGTCATTAAAGTCGTCCGAGTTGGGGTCAGATTCGGACCCGGAATCATTGTCCTCATCGTCGGACAGGACGCCTTCGAGTGCAGTCCCAGCGAGACCATCGTCCGACTCGTCCGACTCCGCGACGTCCTTTCTTTTCTTTGATAAACGTGGAGGAGCCATTGTGTGTGTTGGATGAAAGTGTGCGCACACCCAGCGAGGTTTCAGTTCTCAATGGTGGCGGATACACGGTGGAAGGCACAAGATCTTTCAGCGAAACAAGTCCCAAGGCTTTGGAGACTTTTTTTTTTCTTATCTGCGATTGTCCAACCACCGACCAACCCCACATGGTTTTTCTGCCAGCCCAGGCCACGGCTGACAGGGCGGTGAGGCGAGACCCACAGAAGCAAAGCAAGACATTCTGTGCCTTCACTTGCGGAATTGAAGGGACGTCACATGTAGCTCGATAGGCTCCCAAAAACCCAAGAGAACCCAGATTAAATCATCATTTTCCAATCCCTAGAGTTCTTGTTGTGAATCAAAGAGTATTATATCCATACCTTATTTATAAAAGGCTCGGCTTTGGTTTGGCCCTGGCTTTTTTCACGTTATCCACTTAATTGCCTACCCTAAGCTTAGCTCAACCAGGCATCGGTATGAATCAGGTTGTATTGAATCAAGAAAACGCTTCGAACGAGACATCAATCCTACTCCCTCATCTATCAAAATCCCAATTTAAACCCTCACAATCCCTACTTAAACTTCGCCAGCGCCACGGCTCACCTACCTATACTGTGAATGGCTCGAGTGGTGAGGAGAAATGGATAGCGAATAGCGCTATAGCTTCTGGCGCTGAAATTGACGTGATCATGAGCATAAACTACATCTCTGACAAGGTTGTATTTTACCTGCGACCTGACGGCGCTTTCAACTATATTCTGACAACAGGTGAAATTGGTACGGAGTACGATCTCTATTAATATGGGAGTAGGTACTTTGACTTACGCTTATTTACAATTCTCAACGCCTTTGACATCCTCGATTACTTTTTCTTTCTTAAAATCCTTGATGTGGGACGTGTAAAACAAGGTTGAAAACATGCTTGAATGAAGTGAGCGGATCGCCAAGGCGTTTGACCGTCGTCGGTCGCGACACGCCCCGAGAAGCAAAAGCGTGGACTCCGTTATTTGACCCAGTGACCCCCTCAGCTCGGGAGAATTCTGGAAGTCGCGAGTTTAAAGAATAAGTTATTGTCGATCACCCTTTTCTACGTCCCGAGTCCGACGATGGCCATCATCATCCTGGCTCGTTAAGGTCTGGATCGCCGAAACCAACAGCCGTGAGCAATCTGTATCCAGACATGCCAAATGCGCACCAATTGTTTCACAGCGCATGTGGCATTTATTCCAGGAGCAGGCTATGGGTTCTGGAGATCAAAACTAATGCCCTGCCGCTCCAATGGGCGACCAGACCGGAGGATGGCTCCGAGTCTCCAAATCCGACTGCTTGAAACATCTCAGTGGAGATGGTTATAAAGCCCCAGCAACTGCCTCTTGTAAGAGCTCACAGAATTATCGAAAGCGCTCGCGTCTTTGTTGTTTTCTTCCATTATGCTTCTTCATAGCATTGCCACACTGGCCGTAGGCATCAGCAGCCTTTTCGGCGTTGCGACAGCCTTCACCAACCCAATCAGGAACCCTGGCGGCGCCGATCCCCAAGTCACCTGGTCTGGAGGCTACTACTATCTTGTGTCTACCGAGTGGACAAACCTTCAAATCTCTCGTGCTGAGACAATTGATGGCCTCAAGACCGCCGAGCCCAAGGTCATTTACACCGACAGCAATAGCTCGCGATGCTGCAATGTTTGGGCACCGGAGATTCACTACTTTGACGGAAACTGGTATCTGTATTACACCGCAGGCAGCAGCGAGAATCTGGATCTCCAACGATCACACGTCTTGAAAGGTAAGTGAAGTTCCTCCACGAGGTGTAAAAACGTGCTCGCTAACGCTTGGCTTTCTCTTCTAGGTGGTGCTACTCCGTGGGATGAGTGGTCCTATGCGGGCCAGATGGCCCCTGACTGGGGAATTGACGGCACCATCGTCCGTTTCACTGACTGGGGAAACTACTTCGTGTACTCTTGCATGACTGGCGTCTCCCACCAGTCAATGTGCGTGCGCAAGCTTGGAAGTGACTATGTCACGGCTGGTGATCTCACCATCATTTCCCAGCCAGACCAGAGCTGGGAGCAGAGCGAGGTTCCAGTTCAAGAAGGACCAAATGCCCTTTATTTCGGGGGCAAGACCTACATTGCATACTCAGCAAACTACTGCTGGACTGCCGACTACTGTGTTGCGCTCTTGGAGTGGATCGGTGGCGACCCTGCTCTCGCCTCGTCTTGGACCAAGTCGAACGGCTGTGTGCTCAAGAGCGGCAATGGGAACTACGGCACAGGTCACAATTCTTTCTTTACCAGCCCTGATGGCAGTGAAACTTGGATCACCTTCCATGCTGCGTCTTCCTCGGCAGGAGCTTGCGATGATACGAGATATGCCATGGTACAGCCTTTGACTGCCAACTCGGATGGGTCTCCCAACTTTGGCGCCGCTCAGAGTTTCTCTTATGAGTGGCCTGAGCCAAGTAGCTGATGGAATAATACTGATCCTTGTATCATAGTGTGGCTAAAATAGAGAGCAAAGAGACGAACAAAATAAACCATTTGAATATAATTTCATAGGAGGTCTACGGTGAGGAAGGTGAAGAGAAGAATGTCTAGTCACATAAATGATGCAAACTGAATCAGAACCCATTTGAAAGGAGAAGACCCGGGTAATAAAGAAAGAAAATCGATTTAGAGGCACAAAACGGATATGTATTCTACGCCTTTCTCGTCTTCCATTGAAACCTCAATCTATTTGAAAGATGATCTTCTCGTGCTGCTTGGATTTGATGAGTACAGATTGAGTCAGCAACTTCTTTCATACATCTACAGGGTGAGCTGCGTTGCACTTCCTCTCAGACAATACAAAATGTAACGAAGCAGTGTAGAGTTAGAAAATCTTCTAGTAAATTGGACCCTGTAAATAGTTTCATCCATTTCACTACATCTCCAATTGGGCTACTGTCCCCAATATTAGTGTTAGGAAAAATTATTGAGTACAGAGTTCGGGAAAACAAACCAGTTTTGTCGATATGTCTGAAGGCCTCTTGTATAATCAGCTTAAGTCCTTTGTTTTCATCTTTATGAGCTGCGATTTGATCTTCATAAATTGCGACCAGAGCTTCATGAGTTGCGATTACATCTTCATGAGTTGCGATTTGATCTTCATGAGTTGCGATCTGCTCTTCATGAGTTTCGATTTGAGCCTCACGAGTTGCGGCAAGCGCTTCATGAGTGGCGATTGAAGCTTCTTGAGTTGCGATTAGATCTTCATTGGCTGCAATTAGAGCTTCGAGGGATCTATTTTTAGCCTCAAGATCTTCATTTGTAGCCTGAACAGCTCTGAGTTGAGCCTCAAGAGCTGTGACGTGTGCATCATGGCGTTGGAGGCTCCCGTCAAGAAGGTGAAATTTTTCTGTACGGGAATAGGATTTCGGCTGAAGTGTATCGAGTTTCTCGTCGATTTTCGCTCCGAGCCTGGAGAAATCCCCCTCCACTTTTGCTTCGACCGTGTCGAGTCTCTTTTCGAGTCTGCTACACATTTCTGCCACGTCTGCTAGGACCAGCCGAGGGTCGGAGTATTCGACTTTTGTCATGGCTATGTCATTTGCTGTTTGATGGTAGGTGATGGTTGGCAAAGACGATGATGATGAAGGTTAAGTTGGCGAACTCGGATCCTAAATCGAACCCTAAAATCTTCCGCTGTTAGTTTTTGGTCATTCATTTCTTCGTACATAATTCAAAATATTCAAACTAAGGAAGTTAGTACTTTTATATCAAAAGCAGAAGATTTGTTGGCGCTTTGTTGGCTGTCGACTGGTGTCAAAAGGGGAGAAGACTGAAGAGACTTGCGGGGAAGGACTCGTGGAGTTAAGTATACGGTGATTCTTGCTCAGAGAAAAAGTTGAATTTAGCCATGATCTCCCCCTGCATGATCTGACTGGCGAACGTGCACTTCTACGAAGTAGTTATGTACTGAGTTTGGGCTGTCGGTTGGGTAAACTTCCACTTTCAAGGCATCAATGGGATTAATTACTATACTTTCTTCTTATGCAAACTTACTTTCTCACGCAACTGCCCTATTACATAAAATCATACTCGCCGGTCCTCGAGCGAAATAAGCTTTGAATATTGACGGAATCTGGCTTGCTTCATGTCTAAACGTGGGCTGTTTTGCCTGGAACAATCTTTTTGAGACAAGGCTAAGTCGAAGACTTCGGCTTGCTACCAACGATAAGGATTCTCCCCTTAGACCAATAGATGACCGAGTTTCCTCATGACATAAGCCATCGAAATGTTTTGACTTTTCACCATCTTCCCACTAGCATGTTACCATGACCAAAACATCACGACGCTGCAGACGCTCAAGCCTGTTTGACTGCCCACTCATACTTTTACAAAAAACCAGTTCCCGCAAAAAGAGTGTTGGGCACTGCCTGATACACCAGTTACAGGGATAACTGATGGTAGCATTCATACCGCCAATGGTTTGTTTTGTCGGTTGTACAATGGATTGCAAGGCCTTTGGATTTGAATAAGTGCATGCTGCTTGTGGCAACATCGGCAAAGCCGCGGAAATTTGCGTGAGCGTCGAGCTAATGAACCGTATATTATGAACTCAATGAAGACCTGTGTATCTGTTGGGTATTTTTCTCAGGGGTAAAGGCAGATACCCTGGCCTAGTGATTGCAAGAGATTTCAATTTGTGGCCTTCAAGAGAAATTGATTTGATTCAGGTGCCCAAAGTAGAAATGTATAGATCGAGTTAATGAAGGCCAAGGGAAGAATGCCCAGCCGTACTATCAAGAATACAGCAGATGTTGGACCCTTGTCAACATTGACGGATCCGTCCAGATATTGAGATATTTCAACAGCTTGGCTAACTCGCTGACTGAGGATACCGCCTGCATACCTTCTAGTTGCTGACAACGTCGTAAATATCAGAGACCAAAAACAAAAATCATCATGAGTTTCTCCTATGATTGGTCTTGAGCCCCGTGATAGAGATCTATACATACCCAGGCATTGGTGATGCTTTTCAAAATGAATTTAATGATTCCCATGAACTCCTGCAGTACTTCATTCAGTTGTTTGTACAACTTACAATCAGAACATATTTCTAAGTCATAGAGCCGAATATGCCTCTTTCGTACACGTTTCTATGGATAGATTTTCCCTGTACAGATATTTGCTCGATGTTCAATTGGGCGTATAAAAAGCCAACAACTGGCGTTAAATTGATCTTGTGCTCAAAACCTCAAGGTTGTAGGAAAGGAGACTCTCTTAAGTGTTGAGAAGACTTGATTGGGAATCAATTACAATATATATCTGATGAATATGGAAAATAAAACCGAGTTTGGTTATTCTCGCTGATACAGGGGAATTATCTGAAGAAAGGTACTTGATCTTCTACCAAAGAGAAGAGTGACAGAAATGATTAGATGCCTCCTTTTCCATCCTGGCCTCTCGTTCCCGTTTCTACCCACTCCAGCTAAATTTCAAATTGAACCGAAGGAAAAGTAATGCGTAGGGAAAGATTATGAAAAGCGACAATACTTTATCACTCCATAATAATGTAACGGCCATGGGGCTCACCGTAGTGGTGAGAACCATCACCCAGAAGAAGTATTTTCTCTCCCTTCTCCAGGCTCTTTGAGCCTCGTATAATTCATACGCCAGTAACAACGAGTTCGCTGCTATCCAAGCACTTTGATGCAAGAAAAAGAGCCCGCCGACGCTGACGGTTATAAAGAATAGAGCAAGGAGAGCGAGAAAGGTACGCCAGTATATCGCCGAAATGGAAACTCCTTTAGCTATGGCGCGTAATATGCTGCCTATGGCTAAAGATATAGGTAGAGTGAGAAGGAGACAGCCTGAGACAATGCCGAAAATGCGCCAGTTGAAGTTGAGAGATCCGGACATCCCTATGGTAGACGTGAGAAGTTCGGTTGAGTTTCGCAATTCTGGAGACAGTCCTTCCAACTGTGATTTTGCCCAATTTGAGAATCCAGATGGGCCTTCAACAGCTGGACTCTCAATATTCATGCCAAAGAAGCTGGTTGTGAATGATAAAGGCAAGAATATGGCTGCCAAGATTGTGAGCCTAAATAGACGCAGGTCTTGAACGACTTGAAATCGCTGGCGCAAGACCTCTTCGTTGCGTTTAACGTTGTCCAATAGGGTTCCCATCTGGGTTTTCACAAACTCTAAGTCTCTCCTCATAGTGTCTAATTGGTTCTTCACTTCCTCATCGGGGTTTCTCCACACTTGCAGAGTTCGGAGAGTCGTCATGCCGTGTTCGATTCCTTGCAAATTTGTTCTAAGACAATCCTCAAGATGGAGAAGATATTTCATCTTGCTACTCGAAGGAGTCAAACGTATGGTTTCGCGCTTGATTATGGTTAGTGTTACGTGATATATCCAGCAACATAGGCTAAAGAACTTACCATACGAATAAGTTCTTTGTGAAAGGATTGAATAAACTTTACTGTGTCTGACCTCATTACCTGAAAGACGCACATTATACAGCTTAGTACTTCCTTCTCGGTGCACCACTCACCAGGAGCGCTTGTCTCCTGGTCTTCGTTTCCACAAGTTGGTTTTCTGGACTTCTCAAGAAACGTGGAGAACTTCTCTATAGAGTTGGATGAACGAAATTGAATAAGAAGTCGAGCCTGTTCGCAATGAGAAGCGAGAGGTTGATAATTGATGAGTGCATACTCGCAGAAAGGCGAGCTTTTCTCAGGTTCTGAAATATAAACCCCGAAATCAGATTTGTATGGCTTCAAAATGTGTTGCCAGGCGAGGCGCAGGGTATTTGGATAACAAGTTGGATCCATGTTTCCGGGACCATCGCAGTTAAATCCCCAATAGACTTCGTTACCTGGAGAAATCTCGCCATGAGCTAGCCGCTGAAGAGAGAAGGGATGAAGGGGAGGAGGGTCAGTGAAACCATCACTATCAAAATTTCCGATTTCGCTCAAATCAAAAGAACTCTGTATCTGCCATAGGGCAGAGGCAAGGCATCTGAATAATAAAACGGGCTGACGATAAATGGTTTCAAAGTTCCAGAACAGACCCAGGCTGGCGAGAGTTTTAAGAGTAAAGGGAATCAATGATGCTAAATCCGCTGACTGCGGGGTTTCATTTATTGCCCTATCGCATCTTTAATCACTGACCTTTTTGTATTTAGTAACGAGAATATAAGGCAAGAAGCATACAAGAGTTGAAGAGAACTGGGAGCTTTCTCTGAAAGTCTGATGGCAATCCGACATGCCCAATCTGAGAATGTGTCGTCCTCTAATAATTCTGTTCTCGCACATCTATGGGCTATCATATGTGTTAAATTTAGTATCTGCAAGGAGATGGATGGATGATCAAAAGTACTTGATGCTGCGTTGGGTTGTGAGGTTGGTCCTGATAAAATCCAGTGTACGGCAAGCCTGTCAAATGAGAGCACGGAATTACCATCGCCGTGCTTAATTTTTGATGGCCGGCGTTCCTTGAAGAAACGATACGATCGGAAAAGAACCCTTAAGTCCCATTTGGACACAATAGAGATATCGCTTGAGATTAGACTTTCTAGTATCCTTTGGACGTTATCTCGGCGCGTGGCAATGTTAGGATCGATATCAAATAAGAGATGCCGGAAACCCAGCTTGAGGGTTTGATGTGACGACTCTATTGCCGGCAGGCCTTCTAGAGGTATGTTGTCCGCGCGCGAATTCTCCATGTCGGCAGAGTACCTAGGTTATGATGAAATGAGTGGGAAATAATACGATGGAAGAAGAGGACGGCGGGGTTCGTATTGGACAACCCTCGCTGACATCAATGTCAGCCCAACGTGCGACCTGCAGCTGGCCAACGAGATGGCGGAGGATGCCTGATGCCTGATGCCTGATTTTGCACTTCTGGCAGCTGACCATCATGCATGGAAGCTAGATATGAGTGGTGGGAAGTTGACTAAACTAATTGCATATTGGAGTTTCAGTATCGAGATTTATTCTTCCAGTGCGTCTCAGAGTCCGCTGAACTATGGCATATCAGATGAATATACTAGTGACGAGATTAAGGCCCGGGAAGGCTGTGTCATCTGCTTTTGCTTGGGGGTTGAACAGGTAAGTAAGATCTGTAGAGGTGGACAGCCTAACTGATGATGCATATCCTGGAGCTGATACTAACTGTCATGGCCACATGGGAAAGACACATATAAATGATATCACAGAAAAATGAGTCACTTGATCTGTATGAGGCGAAAGGGCTGTATTTGGCAGCTAATACAGAATATATGCCACCAAACATGGCACGACAAGGCCACTGGCACTGTTTTCTGATAGAACTTTGAAACTTAACAACGAGAAATAACGATGAAATATTAGCGACAATTACAAAAAGCAGATTCTATACGTATTAGTTATTGTCATGGTAACAGCTGCCAATTAAAGATCACAGCAGAGGTTGAGGGCACAGTCTTGTGTACTTATCTCGCCCACTTGCCCACCAACTCATTTTAGACGACAAGGCAAAAATGACTCGACCAGCATCAACCACACGTAGCCATTTTGAAAGATATCTCATCGAGTAGCACACCATTAATAATTTTCGCCATCCGCGGCGAGGCATCCCTCTAAGCCACCCATAAATGAACATGGGTGGCTGAGCCGCCTGCAGCCTTGGTCAGCTGTCAGCCCCTCACCCACCAATATAATGCTCACCTTGCCTGGAATGCCTCCTGCCAGACCGCACAATTTTTCTCTTGACACCTAAACGTCATGGCGTCAACTTCGAGGCCAAGAGACCGGAGAGACTTTCGCTTTGCCATCTTCTGCGCTCTCCCACGAGAAGCCGACGCCATCTTCCTCCTCTTCGATCATTTCTGGGATGAGGGAGACTCGAGCTATGGCCGCGTTGAGGGCGACCTAAACCACTACACGAATGGTCGGATTGGGCAGCACGATGTCGTCCTCGCTCATCTGCCAGGTATGGGGACGCAGAACGCAGCAGCGGCGGCGGCGAGCCTCAGAACTAGCTACACCGAGCTGAAGCTGGTGTTCCTAGTTGGCATATGCGGCGGAGTGCCCAAAATAGATGGCGTTGACGCCTTCTTGGGCGATGTGGTCATCAGCAAGAGTATTCTTCAGTATGACTATGGCCGCCAATATCCCGGCCGCTTCGAAGTGAAAGAAACAACGGAAGATAGCCTCGGGCGGTCAAATAAGGATATCCGTGGCTTGCTTGCCTCCTTTGAAACAGACCGGGAGAAGACAGTGCTGGAAAACAAGGCGGGAAGGTATCTCAAAGACATCCAAAACAAAACAGAACCATCGGACCCGCGGCGCCTGAAGGGCAGCCGGGAATATAGAAACCCCGGATTGGCCAAAGATCGACTCTTCAAACCCGACTACATCCACAAACACCACAAAGAGTGTGAAGCATGTCAGCGAGGACCCTGTGAGCTGGCAACTAAAGCCTCATGCGGCGATCTTGGCTGTAGGACTTCCCAGTTGGTTCTGAGAACTCGGTCTTCGGATAGAAATGACGATGACTATAGACCTGCAATCTTTATCGGAAGAGTTGCGTCAGGCAGCACCGTCATGAAGTCTGGCGAGGATAGGGATCGAATCGCCACGGAGCATGGTATTGCTGCATTTGAAATGGAGGGAGCAGGTGTTTGGGACGAGGTTCCCTGTCTTATTGTCAAGGGCATCTGCGACTATGCGGATAGCCACAAAGATAAAAGATGGTAAGACTTTGCGGCTGCCACAGCGGCTTCTGTGCTGAAGGCGATTCTGGCCAGATATGTTGTGAGTGATAGGGTTCGACCTTCACTGAGTCAATCAAGCTTTGGGGAGTCCCCTCACTGCCATACCATCCCGTATATCCGCAACCACGAGGTCGTCAAGCGCCAAACCGAAGTGGAAAGACTGCACCAGCTTCTCTCAAGCTCGTCGGCATGCCAAGTAGCTGCTCTTTGGGGACTAGGAGGGTCAGGGTAGGTTTCGTTTTTCTTGAGGATTTCTTCGTGGATCGTCACTAATAGCGACTAGGAAAACGCAAATAGCTCTGGAATATGCATACCAGAGATTGGATGCTCGAGACTGCTCTGTTTTTTGGGTACACGCAGACATGGAAGCTACATTCATTAGGGACTATAAAACCATCGCCCGGAAACTGGGCTTGGATGACACAAAAAGTGAAGAGAACCTCCTGGAGGCTGTCCGAGACAAAATCGAATCCCTGGAGAGCTGGGTACTTGTCATTGACAACACTGATGACATTAAAGTCTTCCTCTCGGGACAAATTAGCAAAAAGACTACCAATTTGCTCCGCTATATCCCCCAGTCAGCTGGAAAGTCGGGAACAGTACTTTGGACGAGCCGGGATGAGAGGATTGACGGAATTGTTGGACCTGGCCGGACGATCGAGATCTCTCGAATGACAGGGGCAGAGGGGCGGAAGCTACTCTACACTAAATGGAACGAGAAGGATAGAGGGGCCAAAGATGACACAATCACCAAGCTTTTGGAAGAGCTCGGGTGGTTGGCACTGGCAATCAGCCAGGCTGGTGCCTTTATGAGACGAACCCAGACTCAGGCTAGTGAATATCTGAGTATGCTTTCCAAAAAGAAGCACCGATGGAAACTATTCAAGGCGAGCGAGACAGCAGAAGTACAGCGGGCGCCAGGGGTTCCTAATAGTGTACTTGGAACGTGGCACATCTCCATCGAGCGCATTCAAAAGGAAAACCAACTGGCCTATCACATATTGAATGCATTGGCATATGTCAATAATCAGAACATATCGGAAAAGATGGTGGCGGAATTCGCCAAATTTCATGAAGAAGGAGCCCCGATCGACTACAAAGACTTCCACGACAGCAGAAAGGAACAGATTGTGGCTGACGACAACGATTCAGACGAGCAAGACATTGAGATACTGACAGCGCTGGCGAGGCTGAAAGAATATTCATTTATACAGATACACCGGGATGGTAAGAAGCAGAAGAGCTATAAGATGCACAAGTTGGTGCAAGATGCCGCCCGATTTGGACTATCTGCTGGGCTGATGGTTGATGAGCCAAGATCCGGAACGAGCAGCAGAGGTGAACAGTATTACGCTGCGATTACGCTGAAGGTGATGGTGAGGCTTTTCCCAGGCCACAGGTCGGGAATGTGGCACCAATGCGAAAAGTATGCCGGCCATGCCGTACAAGCAGCAGAGTGGGCTGAGATGTCGGGGACGCCAATATGTGCAGCAACGCTTCTTGACCGAGTCTGTGAATTCCTCGAGGGCCGTGGCCACAGCCTCCAAGCCAGGCGCCTCGAACTGCTGGAAAGGAACTTATCGATACATCGACAGGCTCTTGGGGAACGAGATACAGAGACCCTCTTCACTAAGTTTCTGCTCGCACGCACACATTTTCAAAATGGCGCCAGGGACGTGGCTAAGGAGATGACAGACCAGGTGTATGCGCTCCAGCAGGAGGTTCTCGGCAACACAAGTCGAGACACAATCAGAACCCTGACGTTGAAGGCGAATATTCTCTTTGAAGAGGGAAACTTTGAAGAGTCAGATCAACTACTCGCCCAGGCAATGGACCGCTGTAGGGAAGAGAAAAGTGACGCAGTTGGGATGATCCTGGAGCGACGAGCACGGCTGAGTGAGCAGCAAGGCGACTACGAGAAAGCGGCAGACCTGGCCAGATCTAGCCTCGACATCTACCAGCAGACGGCAACAAGACATGGACGGGTTATTGCATGCATGGAGCTGTTGGTCGGGTTGTACATCCACATGGGCAGATATACCGAGGCCGTGGTAGTAGGCGAATCTGCCTTGGATCTGGCAAAGGTCAAATGGGGAAGTAAACACTTTACGACGAATGGTCTCATGCAAAAGTTGGCCAAGTCGTATTTTGAGCTAGAGCAGTACGCCAAAGCCGAGCCACTTGCAAAGGAAGCGGTACGGTTGGGCCAAGATCTACCGGACACACCGCATTATGCCAGCTTGATGCGTGAATCGAAGCGTCTCCTCGCAAAAATGTCCGAACCCATTGAGCGCCCAGGAAGTAGGGAGTCACGCCAACAGCAGCTGTTTGATCAATTTGCCGCGGGCCTGAAACGGCTGGATGCAGAATATAAGCCTCGCAATGGAAGCGCAAGTTCTACAGTAGTAGGTGAAGTGGTGTTCCGGACACCCGGCAATGCCCGAGCTGGGACTCACATCTATCATGTTTCTTAAGTCAAAGATGACCTATTTGATATTTTACAACGAGAATGGAGGAGTGGATGGGAAATATTCGACTCTTGGGTTGGATGTGTATTGTCAAAAATTCTGTTTTTGGTATCGTGCTCTTGAGCGAGTTTGTTTCCTTTACTCGGAGGGCCAAGGGAGACTCAAATGCGGATTCACTCTTATTCTATATAAATCGACCGGACAACACGTACAGCGTTATAGTAACTCTCAGGGTCGACGTGTTCGTAGAGTCATAGAAAGAACGCAACTTCGTGACGACTATAGTTCTGTAGGAATTGAAGAGTTAACAGTACCAGTTGCAAGAGACGGTTTTGTGTTTTAGGGCTTGGTGGAGGGAATGGCGGGCTGGGGCGATTCGGCATCTTGCTTGGGAGATCCAAGCCGTGGGCTGGGAGGTGTTGGAGCTGGTGTCGAAGAGGTGTTGGCAACTTGATCCGAAGCAAGGCTGTCCGGTCCCGACTTCAACCGTGAAGGGGGCATAGCCATGGCAAGGCAAACATTTCCCTTGCCACAGAGCCGGCCAAGAGGACAGTCATTGTCCACCAGACACCCAACACGCTCATTGCTGCACTTGCCACCGTTATAGCATAGTTGGCCACTCCTACAGTCGTTGTTGGACGTGCAGGTATCGGAGGGCAGCTCGACACAGACGCCATCGGGGCCGCACATGCTACCAAAGATACAGTCGCTTTCCACCTTGCATCTATCCTGGCAACGGTTGTTCACGTAGAGAGACCAACTGCCGCAATCAGAGGCGGTAGTACAAGTCGGATTGTAGTATCCGTTCAAGCAGCTGTTTTTGTTGGAACACTCAGCACCCGTAGCGCAGAGCTTGAGGTTGACACAGACGGAGGTTTTCTTGTGGCACAGCTGGCCGTCAAGACACTGCTTGTCCTTCTCGCATCCAGCCCCAGGAACGCAGATACGATCTTGCAGATCGCAGAGCTGCCCTTCTTTGCAGTCATCGGTGCTTCTGCAGAACGCTGATCGTGGGATGCAGACACCATCGTTACAGAGAAAATCATTGGGACAATCCGTAGGAAGGTCACAGGTCGGGACACAGTGATCTCCTCCACATACACCCCATCCTGCACATTCGTTATCACTCGAGCATAGAGGCATACAGTAGCCAATGAAGCATTTGCCTCCATTTCGACAAGTAGTGCTGGCCCTACATACTTCCGGTTCAATATACACCAACTTCTTCTTGTCACAATATTGTGCACTCTTGCAGTCAGTATCAACAGCACATTTGGCTGCGTCGAGGGCAGTACAGAGGCCGCCTAAGCAGAGTTCGTTTATAGCGCACCTCTGATTTCTCGTACCGCAGTTGGCAGAATCTTCGATGGCGACGCAGTTGCCCAAGACACACACAGTATCAGCAGGGCATGTTTTACCGTAAGAGTCGCAAAGAGCTGGCTGAGACCATGGTACACATCTATTTGACACGCAGATGAACCCAGGGGGACATTTTAGCCCTGTGGAGGTGCACTGGCTTGGATTAGTGATGGCAGTGCAAGCGCCCTCGATGCAGATTGTCCCTGTTGGGCATGACGGTTTGCACGACAAAGGCTTATGAACGGGGAGACACATGCCGTCGATGCATATATTTCCCGGTTCGCAACCTCCATTGCAACGGCCGTCGTCGGTCATGGGGACACACTTGCCCATGATGCAGAGGCTGTTGGAGAGACACCGAACGCCTCTGCAACTCCCAGGGTCACGGCTGGCTTGGATACACTTGCCAGAGAGGCAGATATATCCATGGCCACAGCCATAGCCGCACTTATTATAGTCGATGACAGCAGGGGCACAACTATTGTCAATACAACAATGGCCAGACCCGCAGCTCTGGCCGCCGCAATGGTCCGGGTTGGAGATTGGACCATCGTCGACACCGTCAAGAGCGAGACACTCCCCGCGACAGCAGATATGATTTGGCGGACAGACATGGTCTTTCTGGCCACACGTCTGAACATCGCCAAATATATCACAGCATAAGCCAGCAGCAAATACTCCGCCGCGTTGGCAGTAACCTTCCTCGGGCCAGTACCACGAGCCATCGCCCTTTGGCGTATATGCATCTGACAGGCGATAGTGGTCATCGTGGCTCCACCAGTATCCGTCGATGGAGTCTTGCTTGCGACAGTTTGGGAGGCCGCCAACACAATTACCAGAGATACAAAGCTCTTCAGGCTTGCACCCGTCCAGCTGGCTGCCACAGGCCGAGTGGTCAGTCCCAAGGCGGACAGGACCTGTGCGGTTCTGTATGCCCAGATCAACGCATTGGCCAAAGACACATATGTTCCCAGGTTCGCAGTGAGTGCCCTTGCCGCCGCAGTTGTTCAGATCAGTCCCGATGATGATATCAGGAGAGCCGACCGTTAGCGGGACACAGACCTCGTCAACGCAGATATTTCCAGCGGCGCAGGTTCTGTTCGTCGCACCGCAGTTGCTGACATCCGTGCCAATATTGAGCGGAATGCAGAAGTCGTTGACGCATAGCTCCCCAGCCTTGCAAGCCTCTGAGCCGCAGGCAAGAGGATCTAGGATGATCTGGATAGGGTCGCATTTGCCAGCATTGCACCACTGGCCGGGAGCACACACAGCCTTGCTGCTACCGCAAGACTCGTGATTGCCACCGATGTTCAGGGGCCAGCAGTTGTTCTTGACACAGAGCTCGCCCGGCTTGCAGCTCTTTCTGTCGCACCCCCAGGGGTTGAGGCCAATATCTGGGCTGCTGTCGTCGCACACGATCGCCGCACGAGGCTCGGGGGAGTGTATCGCCAGTGCGAAGGCAGCAAGGGATAATCCGAGAATGTATGGCCTCATGATTATCCAATCTTGTCGAAATTGGAGACATCTACCTTAGGATCCATTTTGGAATGGTTGAAGCTGAGGGCTTATTTGCCAGCTATATAGGCCACAATCTTTAACCCAAGCTCAAGAAATCCGGAAAACACTTGGTCCAATTGAGATCGGCGCTCGTTTTCTGTTATTTCGTTTTGGGTAGAGTTTGAAAATTTCAATTTGTTTTGCTGCGTAGCCTTCTGCGGCATCTCATTCTAGCCTGGTTGGCAGAGACTGTAAGGCTGTATTGCACCGCAATTTCTGCTCTCCTTGTTGGCTAATTGGAGCTCGGGCAAGGCCTCAGTTTTATTAGAGACATATTGCCAGCTATAAACGCCACGGTGGTGACGACCGTTGCGTGTGTGAAGGCGTGATCAAATGACTTTGCCATCCATTGAGACTCACCTACCTCGCAACCCCATCGGGCGTTTGGAAGCATTCATGGATTTGGCCGTTTCGCATCGCAACTTTAGCCTACATTGAAAGTTTTAAAGCCGATCTTTCCTTGATTCATAATGTTTTCAGGAACGTTTCGAGAGTATCGGTCTAGATCGCTCCATGCATTCCACACACATTAGTAGGTAGTTAAAGTCAATTCGTTTTGGGATTATGGACGAACAACTGAGTGATATTAAATTTTAGACACTCAAATATGTATACGGCCGGTATGGCCAGTTAATTGAGGGCCAAAAATAGAGACTGAAGAGACAAGACGCTGGGAAGTCAAATAGTTTTATACTACTATGTCAAACAGTAGAAAGTAGGTTAGTCATAATTGCTCTTCTAAAACTCCGTTTGGGGCGAATCAGCAACTCCTCGAGTAGTATCTGAACATACTTTTACTTTTCAACAAGATAAAGCGAAATCACTATTAGGAGAACGCAGCACACTAAAATCAATTTCTGTTCTTCCAGAAAGGTGGCTGGCTTGACCGCGGCTGAGGACTCATTAGACTGCCAAGTAGGGATGGAGTCATGAGTTCGAAATGGGGAGGGGAAGAAAATGCCCGGGATTCACGCTTGTCTCGATCTACAGCGAACTATGCATGAGAAAAGGGGAGATATTGAAAAATCAATCTAGAGTAGAAGGTGTCGATAGAGCTATTGGGGACATACCAATGTAATCGATACATGCGAAAACATGAGAATCAATTGGTTAATGATCTCTTAAGCTTTGGAATCTGTATCCTTTGGACAATTACGAATTATACGAGGCAATCTCTGCTGTGAGTCTTTCGGCAAATGTGTCATCGTCTCCTGTAGCATCCGATCCAGCACCACATGACGGATTCAGCCATGTCCTTGCCTTATTGGTAAAGGAACCCTCGATGCAATGCTCGTCTGCTCGGCCATTACCGTCAAGATCAGCCCAGAACTCGCATGTGCCCGCGGCATTGCCAGCGTATGCGGCCTTGCTCTGCTGGCCCCAGGAGAAGGACGAGCCTTGAAGATCAGCGGGACTTCCCCTGCCCTTATTGTACCTGCGAACAGGATGGTTAGTATTATTCATGCTTGCCGATAAAGTTAATTTAACGAGAGGAAAGAGTTACCAAACGTAAGCATCTCCGTTGAACTTGTCAACCCAGAGCAAGTCGTCTTTGCCATCGCCATTGACGTCGGCCCAGCGAAGGTTAGCACGGTCTTTCTCAAATGCATACTTGATCTGACCAACATCCTCGAAGGAAACGTCGCTGTTCTGGATAAAGCCTGTGACCTTGCTGTTAGGCTCGAGGCAGAGGTAGTCAGCGCGGCCGTTACCAGTAATATCTGCGAAACGAACAGCCACTATAAGATGATCTCGTTAGTCCAAGGAAACAAATACCGAAAAGCCTTTTTGCCACTCACAATCGTCAATCCCCAGTCCCTTCTTCTGAGAGCACTTGAGTTTCGGTGCAGGGTTTTCAAGGTGTGTCCAATCCCACTTGCCAGTCGCAGGATAGTTATTTATCCACACCTGGACAGAGCCGCCATCAGGATTGACGTAGATGATATCGCAATCTCCGTCGCCATCCCAGTCCTGTAGATGCAAATCGCGCCGGTGAATATCATTAGGTGGGGTCCAGATTGTCCCTTTAGTAGCCCAATACCCATCGGAGTCTGAGTCGGAGATATGCCCCTTGCCGCGATTCTCGTACAGCTCCATCTTGCCGGTGGACCAAGTCCAGACATAATCGACCATCCCGTTGGAGTGACCCACCATATTGCAATATTTGTTGCCATCTACGAGGACCTTTGTGCCGCCGGTGCTCTTATTTCTCCAGACGCGCATTTGGAACCGGTGCTTGCCGCTGTCTAGTTTGGTGTGCTGTATGAAGACATAATCTTGCTTGGGTAGGTTGCCAAACACGGTAGACTGGCCGAAGATGCGTGCAAAATGGATCCGCGGAAGAAGATTCTTTTCTTTGTCAGTGGCAAAACTCCCCATGCCCTTGTACACCTTTGTATCGGACGTTGATTGGAAATATCCCGAACGCCATGCCACTTTGAGGCCGTCTCCTTCTTTGCCCTCGAGACAGCTTCGAGAGTTGGTCTGCATATAGCCAGCACCGTTTTCGTCAAGCCACACAACGTCATCGCGTCCCTAGATTTGAATATCAGCATCAGTCTTCTTGGCTTGCTTTGGTTGATTCCTCTCACATCGCCATTGATATCTGCAAAGATGTAGCCGTCAATGTTCGGAACATCGAGACCCTTGAGAGTGACACCAAGAGCCTGCCAATACTTGGGAATATCATCAACCCATCCGTTCCTCCAGAACTTCCAGCCAGAGCAGTCCCAAACACCGTAGTCACCTCTGCCATCACCGTCAATGTCAGCAACTCGGACTTTATCCCTAGCATAGCCCTCATTCTCCTTAATCTTGCCGGTGCTGCTAACACTCTTGAAGGTTGGTGGCTTCCCTGTTGCTCGGTTACCATCTCCCTGGTTGATGGAGAGGAAGGCGTTTCCGTATGCATCAATATAGACGAGATCGTCGAGACCGTCACCATTCATGTCGATAAAATTGACACCATCGGCGGAGACGCAGTTAATGTTAGGCACCATGTTGCTGATGGCGTTGAACCCGCCTTTTCCATCTGCGGAGTTGGCCCTTCAGTAAGATCAGCATGAGAACCACATTACACACTGAAATGAGATGCAGAAACCCGGCTACTCCAAGATCCGTAGTCAAGGAAAACTTACCAGACTACGAATTCCTGAGAAGAGTCTGTGACCTGAAGCCATGCAACGAGATCATCATATTTTTGGTCGAACAGATGGGCGAACCGCCATTGGTTCCGGTCCCAATCACTGTCTTTGGTGAACAGAATCTGCGTGCCATCCACGTTAGATGAAATCCTGGATGTAAAGACCTACTAGGTATACTCACGCCCATTTCCTCCATATCGTGGTGGTAATCGCCGTCATCGTTGTCTGACCCGCGCTGGGTGAGGCCCCCTGCATCAATGCCAGTGTCGGCCACCTTATCACATCCAGTCTGACCTCCCTCGCCAATATCAGCGGGCTTCTGAACTTTGCCGTCTCCTAGCGCTTTTGTTATCGCCTGGTAGAAAACAGATGCCATCATTCTGTGGCCCTTGTCCTGTTCCATCTGTCAGCTTTATTCCACGCCCCCTAGACATTGCACATGGATCAACTCACATTCGGGTGAGTAGAGTATTGTTCTCCGTCCATGTAATCGGTCTCGAAGTTGAACCATACTCGTCCATCGGTATGATCCATATCTGCCAAGTATATGCACTTTGTCTTGTTATGTGTAGATACCAGCTCACGGTATTGCTTATTTATGGCATCCCGATTGCCTTTGCCTGTTGGATTCTCCGTCGGAAGGAGGGTAGAGAGCATGAGGCAAGTCTCGCTCATATCTGGCGCTGTCCAGAGGGCGTTGAGAATGTTCCCCATGCGGGTTCCGATGGTAGAGATATCTACATTGAAGTTACCATCGTGGTGCCTCCGTTTATAATCACAATGTTGGGCTATGGTATTTTGGTTAGAAAACCATTTCCGCGTGGGATGTAATTCTTCCTTGGACTGACCTTGTAACCAACTGAGTTTGGCACTCTGCTGAGAATAGCATTTACCAGGTCTCCAGGATTTGCCTCATGGTTCTGCAATCGTTAGTCCCAACGCATTTAGGTGTTTCGATTTGGATGGGAACCAACATTGTCCTTCATCCAACCGTCAGATAGTGATCCGACCATATTAACTTCGTAACCGTCTTGACGTAATGCATCCTCAAAGGTTTGCGTCCACTATATAGATGACCAGTTAGCATCCCTTGCTAGGCCCGACCGGTCAAACGGAGAGAACGAAGGGGGTATACCAACCCGTTGCCCACAACTCCGTCTTTGCTCGAGGAGCCTACTCCAAACATGATGGAGGCTCCGAGCGGCAGGATACGTAGAGGGATTGATGCATCGCGCCCTTCATTATTGGTGCGACTGTAACCGAGATCGGCAAATGGATGGTCTCGTGGAGGAGTGGGATTGGCCTGCGTGAGCCCGGAGAATGCCAAAGTGGCGAGCGAGATGGTGGCTCGCACAAGATACATCATTGAGGGTGTGGCGGTTGAGGCGAGATGTTTGAGCTTGAGGTCGCATAGCACTGCAAGAGGGCTGTCTGCCAAGGTAGTATTTATATAGTCTAGAGATCTGCATCTCAACCTTGACCTATGTTGACCGAAATCGCTTGAGGTAAGCAAGGCAGGTGGGAGTGCAGTGAAATATCGTATTGCAGCCTATTAGCGAAATCGGCTCTTTGCTGGATATGTGGTATTTTTATCCTGTCGTCTTTACCAGCTCCCAGGCAAGGGTCGCGATAGTAGTTCGATCCTAGTAGAGACTAGGAACAGGGTTCGTCCAATATTGGGAACATAAGCACATGGTAATAAGCAGATGCTACTTTAATGGTTTTTCCACCAGTCTGCTTCAGAGAGCACCCTATCCCAATTGGCTACGCATTACTCGCCCTGTAGGGCTGGGCAACCTGGCTCGAATGCCTAGATGAAGTTGACACTAAGCAAAATATATGCTCTATGAAATGACATAGGCCTTGTCGAAGTACAACACTACTTAGGGATGGGACACTACCTATAGGAATTCCAAGCCGTTGCATCAGATTCGATGATGAGCGTCGAGATTCTTTACGCCTGCTTGGCCAATATTGCAGAACTCGGTGACAAAGCTTTGTTTGTCAAGCAATGACTGATATGGTATGAGACAAAAGCAGACTTGATGAGTTGCCGGTGTTTGGTCTCGGTCTCGTCAGCGCTTGTGTTGCGATCCTGGTATTCGGATCAGGCGGCTGGGGTTAAGCCCCAAGGGATTTAGAAATAGTATGCATGATCTATCTATTAAAAGTAAAGAAGTAACAATGTCTGTCTAAATAAGGATGGCTGATCTAATGCGGAATTGATCTAACTTGTTTGTGTACAGTACACCGAACTTTTAGTCGACGGCACTCGTATCTGGCTCTCCAACAACGCCATGCGGTCGACACAGAAGTACCATTTCCAAGATACACAGTTGCACTAATTCTGCGCATTCGGCCTGGAATCGTACAATACCCAGCTCACGTCTTGACTTCGTTTACAAACTAAAACAACCTGGATCGTGATACAACATGGTTCGCTGGAACCGAGGAAAGCCGTACAAATCTATAAAGCCCGGATTACAATTTCAACTTAAAGTAACCATAAAATGGGGTTGTGTTTCACGCATACGATATGATCCTTCTTAGGTACTCTCTAGGAGGCTGCACTCATTTCCAGAGAGTCATGCAGATCTATGAGGTGCCGTTACTTCCCCCTCCACGCTACTCTAGGTACGCGATGGTTAAGTTGCTGACCACGTGTGCCCCATAGGACTGTGAACAGTTTCCTGGTTCTCGTTAGTTTGGCGCTTAGGTGGAACCGCCCGGCATTTAATAATTAACAATAGCTTCTGCCTCGTCACAAGTATTTTTAACATCCATTCTTGCTCGTCACAATATGGCAAGCAGTAGACAATCTTGGATTCAGAACCAATAAGCTGCCGCGCGGACTCAAATGTAACGGTGATAAGCTTGTTAGTGCATCGCTCGGACTTTCTTCCTGGGTGAAAATGAAGACGAAAACATCGCTTACATAGAGCCATGGGTACTCGCTGAATCGTTCACCTTGCCTGGTAGAAAGGCTGATGGTACAAGGCAGCCTCGGTTGGTTCTTCGTCCATGTGTCGCAGGCGGCTCTAAAGAATCTCCCTCTGTTCCTTGTGATGAGGTAATCATTCGGTTGAGTACGAGAAACTTCGAAGTCTGCTGGAAATACGGCGCGATTACTGAATATGTAATAAATAGACATTGATGTTGACGGACTGAAGAATAATTATCAATACGAGATCAAAGGTCAGAATACTGAGCCTGGGGACATTCATGTTGGAAGAACTTCTTGATAGAAACCAGAATAAAGATAGATCACAGGTGTCATGCGTTTCACCGTCTCAAGGGACAAATAGTATTCAGATCAACATCACCCGAAGGCGCTGCTCTTGTATTTTCTCCAGCTCTACCATTCCGGAGTAACTACCAATAAATCGTTGTTATGCAAGCTGACGGAGACTTTCACCAACTGCCATCTCCTAAGCTCCTACTTTTCTGATCTGCCTTCCTCATCGATGAATGTTATTTCATGGCCAATAGCTATATGGCCAAATTCCGGATTGGAGATCTTCTGTGCTTCCTTTTCTAGCTCAAACCACTCTGGATCGGTAGTCAATGCCGTCAAGTCATCCATACTTCGAAGCCAGTAGGACATGATGATGGAATACTCCGGCACTGTCCACTTTGGCCGGTTCATTTCGTTCTTGAGAGTATGACGTAGGCCCTCAACGGCATCCGGTTGGATGATTGTCTTTGTGAGAAGGATATGTAAGCGTTATGTAAGGATCAATGTTGTTGAAAGCGTTGATGTTTGAACGGGAACTGACCTCGGTCCATTTCACCATGTTGTGTTTCTTCATTAGAGGAATTGCACGAGGAGGATAAACCTGGGTGCACCACTTCACGAATTCCTCATGAGGTATGCCATCTTTCTTGTGAATACAAATTTGGAACTTGATCAATTGGTTAGGGGTTGCCATTGTGCTGTACATGTGTCTAACGAAGTCGCTCTATTCGATATGCGCCATGCACTCGAATTTATATTTATATCGGGCTTAGCCATCGGAGATTAGAACCAAATACCGGTTTTAATCTGACCGTTAGCCTGAAATAGACGAAATCCTGTAAGCGCTAAACAGCCTGTTGGTTCTGTTTGTGGAACCATTACGCGCAATCCCCCACTTTTGCTCTGGTGAATTGGGACCTGAATGCTTACCACAACTTAATATGGATGTCAACTGCGGGACGATCAGTTTTGAAAGAAAAGGGGGGGGACTGTAGAGATATGAACGTATATGTTTCGTAGCTAATGGACGTGGCCGTGTTTGAGTAACCACCAATGATACTCAGAGCCGTGATTCGTCCAATACGATGTTGGGCAACTTACCACGCCAAGGGGATGAATCTATTTACCCTAATATTGACACTAAGGACTTCTTTGGTGAGGTTCACATTGCGGCAGGACTCGACATTCGGTAACCGATATCGAAGTCGAGTACAAGCCCTGGATGATGATGGTGATGAAGAAAGCACAAATAGGTGGCGTGTGTTGAACCTGGGCCCATTTACTCTCCTAAGATGGGCCTGTAAAGCACCTAAATATTTAGATCTTATGATTGGGAAATCTATAGACGTTTCTCTTTTATTATATCTTCTTTTAAAAATATCTACCTTAAAAAGATTAGTGTTTCTATGCTTTTAAGTGTTAATAATTATAAAATTACGCTGATTAATCATATGAACTATTTAGTATCAATATGAATGGTTTCTCTCTATTATTGAAGGTACAATACGGGCTGGTGGCTTAGCCTTCCCCAACACACTACACCCTGATGTACATCGGACGTTGGGCATTTAAACTGCCTCTGCTATTGCTGATCAGCTGCCCATACAACTGTCACTCAGTATTAACCCAACGGATAAAACAGTCAATGTATCAATTCTTCACTTCCTCATAGAAAGTTTGACCTGCCGCATTACGCCTCAAGGACCTTTGATTAGGCTCGCCCGAGCGTATGGAGTCGAAAACATTTTCAATTTCGCAAGGATAATTTGCATTGGGACTTTACTGTAAGAGATAGTATAGTTGTCAGGTCTCATATCTTACTCGACTTCAGCATAAATATCAATCCTAGACAACTATCGCTTAACAACCCAGCAGCCTTGCTTCTAACGAATATTCACCCAGTACGGATTGAAGAAAAAAAACCCTATTTTAGAAATGCTCCCGAGGGCCTTTGTTTATTTGGTTTCGTTGCTGACATTAACCAAAACAAAAGGTGTCCCTAAGCATGCTCTTCTTGTTGCGCATTGGTTCTAACCATCGGAGAAGAACGCCAAGATCTCAAGGTTTTGATAGATGCAAGCGTTTGAGGATGATCTGCGTTAATAATTCTTTTCTGGAGCGCCACGCATTCCATCATCATCTCGAGCGCCTCATTTGGTTGACCAAGATTTCTCCTCATATGTGCGAGGCTACTCATACTGCTCAGCGTGTCAGGATGTTCCTCGCCAAGGACCCTCTTATATAGCTCTAGGACCTTAATTCCCAGCTTCTCGGCTTCATCCAGTTGCCCCAGATCCTGTAAGGTGGCGGCTAAATTGTCCATACTTCGCAGTGTGTCAGGGTGTTCCTCGCCAAGGACCCTCTTACGCAGCTCTAGGACCTTGGTCTCTAGCTGCGCGGCTTCCTCTAGTCGCCCCTGATTCCAGAAGGTGGTGGCTAAATTGCCTGTACTTTTTAGTGTGTAAGGGTGTTCCTCGCCAGAGACCCTCTTACGCAGCTCTAGGACCTTAATTTGCAGCTTCTCAGCTTCATCTAGTTGCCCTAGATCCCCTAGGGTGGTGGCTAAATTGTCCATGGTGCTCAACGTGCCATCATGTTCCTCGCCAAGAACTCTCTGACAAAGGTCTAGGACCTTAGTTTGCAGCTTCTCAGCTTCATTTAGTCGCCCCTGATCCCAGAAGGTGGCGGCTAAATTGCCCATACTTCGCAGTGTGGTATGGTCTTCCTCGCCACATACTTCTCTGTAGATTGTCCCTGCTTCCTTATGTGCCTCTTCAGCCTCCTTCCATCTCCCTTCTTCGCGAAAAAATACCCCAAGTTTTTGGAGAAGACCTGCCCTTTTCATTTCTCTATCCCCTATCGATGACGTTAAACCTCTGACCACTTGAGCGTGTGCGAGGTACGCGGTGCAGGTCGTCCAATTTTCGACACTTCCTCCATCTGGGAACATTTCCAACACCGTTGAAAGTGCCTCCCCTTCATAAGCATCTTCATGATGCTGAATACTGAGCCACTTCCGTGTGGTCATTTGCACAAGTCGGTGGATGTTGATGTTTTGACTAGCTTCCTCTCTGATTAAACAGAAGCTTAGCAAATGCCCGATGGCTTTTGTAACTTCAAGGGCTCCGTCTTTTCCGTCGTTTCGGCGCTCATAGTAGTTGAGCAAAAATACACGGGGAATTTCTTGACGATCAAAGAATGACATCAGTGACAAGAGCTCTCCGGCTAGGGGGTTTCGCTGTTGAATTTGTTGATAGGAAATCATCCAAGTTGCAGCAACGGCATGCAAACTTTCTTCATCTCGTCCCACAGCCTCAAACTCTTCGCCCAGGAGGTCGGCCGGCCTTTTCTTCAAAAGTTCCAAGTAATGATCAATCGATACAGAGTTTTCTTTCATAAAGGCTGCCGCTTGGACCAAAGCAAGAGGGATATATTCGAGCTGTGCGGAAAGTCGGCCAATGGGTTCTGTAGACGCAGAGTCGTCAAGCTGAAGATGTAACAGTTTGACACAATCTGAGAAGTCCATTTTGCCAATTTCAATCAGCTGCTTCCCTTTTGTAAGCCTTGAACCAGCTTTCTTGTTCCTGGTTGTTATTAGTATGTTTCCATTCGCGCAATCGGGAATAAATCCCCCCAAATTCCCACTACTTCTTGGAGAAGATACTGAAGTTTGCTGATGTGTTGTAAATAGGGCTTCATCATCAGCATTGTCTATCACCAGGAGCCATCGTCCGTTGTCTTTGCTCCCCAACCAAGCCTTGACTAGTGCCAACACATCATTCTCAGGATCATCTAGGCCAGGAATGCTACACTCTTGCGCGATCGAAGTGAAAGACTGACGGAAGCGATCAGCACTGCTTGCATGTACCCAATACACAGCCACGTCAGGGTAGCGACGTCGCAGCCAGTACGTGAACTGGATAGCAATTTGTGTCTTTCTGTTCATCATTAGCGGAATATCTTCATCAGGTGTACGCGGACTCCATACCCGATACCTCCGAGCCCGTACAGGGCTATTCTTGGCTGCCAGGTACGATTGATGTTGCTCAGATCGAACCATGATTCCAGTTGCCGGAGGATATCTATACGTCCAATAAAGTTTTCGTTGCTTGAATAAGGTACGGTGACTGTTCCCCGTTAGTTTACTGTGGATGAGAACCCCCGGGTTCAAAAATACTTACAAGGTATTCTAGCCTGCTTGTCTATATGCAGTCGGGCATTGGAGCTGGCTTGCTTTGCAACCTCAATGTATCTGCGGAGCTCGCCACTAACTTTTAGAAATCCATCGTCATTAGCATCCTCGAATTTGGTCATGTCAGAGTGGTTTGCATGTATGCCAATATTGTTGCAACCAGGCCTTGTGGCGGACTCTCTGGGGACGATCTGTTGAGAAGAATAAAGATAAGTTTGAAATGTCTAGGGTTATGTGTCCATTATCAGTTTACTTACCACTCCGAGATGGGGCGTGGGTAGCTCCTCAAAGAAGTATGTGATGGATATTGCGGGTAATCCGAGCTGAGGGCGTAGTTGAAGCCTTAAATGGAAACTATGTTGGATTCTAGCAAGCTCCTCGGAATCATGGCGCAGTACCCCGGTGATGTCGCTGTTGGTCTGCTTCATAGGAAGAAGGCAGCGTGAAAGAAGCTTAGCCCAAGGAGCGAGGTCCGATCCATGATGGGGGGTGCCTAGAAATTCAATGCCAATTGTTTGCTCGTGTATCTTGGGAAGATGGTGTTGTCCCCCTTGCTGTTCTGAGAGTACTAGGGCCTGACCCAGGCTGTAAATAAATGGAACAGGAAGTAACAGAAAACTTGAAGTTCTTACATCCATGCAAACCAGTCCTCCCAGACTATGGCATACAAAAATAATCGGTCGACTGCTCTATATGTGCGATATTAATAGTCAACCTCGTTATAGGCGGGTTGTCAAGCCTACCGTGTTATCCTCGTCTCGATGTTGCCCGAGGGATGCCAGTAAGTTTGATGCATGTTCCTGGACTCTATTCCTGGATGATGAGTCCTTGAGCCATTTGGCATCGTATCCGAAAGCGAGGATTCGGGCCGTTGGAAGCCGGTCCGGAAGGATCGTCTTGGGCCAGGGTTCAGTTTGATTGGGGCCAGTCCATGTTTTTTCTCTGTCGCCAGACAGCCCGTGTATGAACACGATGCTAAAGTCGATACAAGCGTCAGAAAGATCACGATAACTAAACATGAGTGCCAATTTGGAATGCGTGCGATCCATACTCAACATCACAGGGCTCTGGGCAGTGAAGGGCCTTGATACCCAACGAGAGTATCTTCTTTCGATTCGGAAACTCCGAGGTTGTAGGCACAGTGGTTGGAAGCACGGATACAGGAGGCACAGAGGTCGCCAGAGGCGCAGATGTTGGTAGCGCGGTCGACGGCTGCTTCTCTCGCCGCCGAAAGATTTTTCGCATGTCGGGCATTACTTATGATCGAGGGATGACCGGAAGAGACACCTGTCAAGCCCAAGATGGCGCCAAGGAGAAGAAAAGAATGTCGAAGAAGCCTGAATGGAGGCGAGCGGGGCTGTGCTATGGCATGACATCGCTGCAAGTAAAGACGTAAGCAGACGCTGGGAGCCAATCTATTGGCCTAATATGTTCTGGCTAGCCCAGCTGACTTGTTGGGCGTATTTCTAGCTACATGCATGTACATAGATGTGTATTATGACGTCGTTGGGTGTGTAAAGAGTTACCATGCAAGGGTTTCGTGCTGCGCGAAGAGATGAGCTAAATAGGTACCATAAAAGAGCAGCGAAATGTGTGCACCTGGCGTATCTCAGCATGCTTCGTGATCGCTCCATTTCGACGATCTGGAGAGACCATATATTAGCTTCTTGTAAGCATCATCGCTCACAAACAGGTAATGAAGTCGTTAACGCATTGCCAGGGATGCTGGGAAGTGGCTATGCATTTGGTATGCCGAGGCCAATGGCCGACACCAAACGCGATGGCGATTAATGCAGTTTCCAATGTTTGTTCGAAAGGCTTCTTCCCCCATCCTATGAACTCTGTATTCGGGATAACCAATGAAGATGCTACCGCAGGCAAGGGGAATTTATTTAGGCCCAGTATTCGAGTGAACCAGCCTGTGAAGTTTCTAAAAGCCTGCGCGCGTGGACTTCTAAGTTTTCTAGAGCTCAATTTTGCCATCAAGCCAACACGTGACCGCCTATGGCTGTGAACGCCTCCAGAAGTACCCTGGAAGAATATTACATCAAGTATTAGCTACAGTGACCCGGATGCCACTCGTCAAGGCATTATATGAATGACGATGTGGAAACTCCTTTGCGCCGCTTGTGAAATTGCTATAACTTCTCGCGCACCGCAAGGAGTGAAGTCAGTGAATTTCAGTTGTGAGGGTGTCCCTCTTGCACTGGACAACCGTGGTCATAGGAAATGCCCCCCATTGGACCATCGCATAATTGGAAGAACCTCCCAAGATATGTTGATTGTTGAACAGACGCATTGAACCCTAGTCCGCATTTGAGTGTGGAAATACAAATAACATGTGCCGGATGCGTGAATTAAAGATTCATGTTTAAAACGGAAATCAGAATGTGTGTGAGATGACAATAGTTGGGAACATGTTATTTATATTAACATGCACTACAAACCTCTCAGACGGAGAGAAGAGCGCCCAGATTAATGCTACGCAGGGGTTGTTCGACAGACGAGCCTTTACATTCTTCGAAGGCATAGGTGGGATATCCTCCTACACAGTATTATCCCTCTTTATTAGGAACTAAGACTAGGGTAATGACACACAGAGAGAGGTACTGGAGAGTAAACGAATCAATTGAAGCCTCGGAAGTGGCCGAAGCCAGTTGAGGGAACAAAGATTGACAATCTAAATTCTCGATAGCAGTAATTGATATTGATCCAGTTACCGGCTAGTAAACATAAGATTAATTTTATTAGTATATGAGGTGATGATAAAAAGGGGGAGGGGAAGGGGCTAATGTTCACTACCTAGCTACGAGGACCTCGTAGTTTGTGGTCTCGGGAAAATGCATCATTCACGCCTTATCGTGTGCAAACTCTATGGCTAACTGATTCGTCGGATTCGAAGACGCAATATGAATATCCTTTGTGAATTCGGCCTATTGTTTTTACTCCTGAGCCATACGGACGTTGAATGCGATGCACAATTACCTAGCTTTTACATGCCCAGAAAAGGTTGTACACCTTTGAGCAATTTTATTCTTGTGTCTTAACTTGGGAGAAGCTATTGGCTTGAAATTGGCTTCGGCTGCTAGCTGCTGAGCCGTGACAGCGAAGGAACTCATTTCAACGACCGGACGGACATCAACATCTAACACGGAAACCACCCCATGATCAAAATAAACGTGAAGAGTGTGGAGACAAATTTACATCTCTGTGAGACTATGACATTCCTTAAGGAGAAAAGACATGCAAATATTACGCTTGAGTCTCTCATCAGAGCTAGTCATTCCTCCTATTAACATAATGATAGCCCTTTATTGCCCCAGCATCTAAAGATTAAAGCTCCATACAATGTAATCCTGGTCCATGCTATGAGTCATTTTCGATGAATTCGTAGATAATTGCATGGAGAGGAGCGTTCCATGACGACTGCGGACCTGAGACACATCCAGGGTGAAAGCGGAAATTTCGTTATTCTTTTCCCATAGAAGAATCTCCAAATAATTGACGCAGCAGAATTAAATGTTTCTCCCCTAGCTTGGCACCTCTACCCGCCACCAATTAAAAGTAAAACAACTGGTATGTGAATGAATCTCATGTCAATCCACTCCCGCATCTAGTAACTGGCCACGTTTCCCGTTCCATCATGGACTTTATGAAATACAGCTCAGCACGACGAGGCTGCTACTCGCTCCATAATAATTACTTGCCCTTTTAAGATATTTACATCGAATCATGGCTGCTCCATGCTCCAAGACCCTCCATACCCTTGATGGGGAGTGGGCTATGGTAAGCAAGCCCTTTTCTCTGATCAACATGGTCGAGAGGAGGGAAACCACAGGTCGCCATGGAAAGCTGGGAACTTTTCTAATAGAATCACTGGATAGAACAAGAAGCTCTCGGAGTCTATCGATGAAGTTCTGCGCCTTCAAGGACTGCCCTACTTTGCACGGGCTGCTATAAAGTTTGCGAGTCCAAGCTACACCATCCGACAGAGCGTATTCCCTTCGGAAGATCCTGACAGCAAGCAAGAGACTGTGACGTGTGTCGAGACAGTTCAGAGATTATCCGGTGTCGCAGAGTCAACGGATGTTCGGATACTGGATGATAAAGTTCTTGAGGAGAAGACAATGTTCTGGGGCAAAACAACCAAGCAGCACGGTTGGGCACAGGCCAATGAGTTTGAAAATGAGTATCTGCGGGTAGGTTGGCTTTTTGATGGAAAAGACAGCAAACTAATGGTCACCTACACGGAGAGTAAGGATAAAGGCTGGAAGGGAACGCAGGTCACTGGCTTCAGACTGGTTAATGATGAGAGGTACTACTGTGTTCGAATTTTGGTGGAGAAAGAAGAGAAATTTGCTGTGGCTCAGCTTGTTTATGACTATATATGCTAGTCTCGATGGTATCTAGCTTGTTTGGAGGATACGGTCAAGAGTGAAATATTAGAAACGAATCAATAATTAGTCATTTGTATTTCTTTAATGGTTTTAGCTTGAGCATGATCTTGCTAGGGTCGTGATATAGATGCAACGTTCGCTTCAGCTTGATTGATGATTTCGACCCATGCTATGAATGGCAATATCCTCACCAGTATGGTTAAATTGCTTGTTTTGAGGTAGAAGACGCTTTTGTATTTTATATTCGAGCTATGCCATGAAAGCAAACATAGGGCTTTCATCTAATGCCTGAGCTCTATTTCGTCTCTAGCAAGAGTGGAGTTGTAAATAGTCTTCATGACCATGTTAAGTCACAAAGTTGGATAGGTTATAGCGGAGTCACGGTCACTCCTTCACACGGGCCAGAACATAACCATTGAAGACCGGTGTCGGAACGAGAGGGTGAGTAGCAACAAGCGGCACAAGCGTAGCTTCCACTCGCTCATCCTGCCCGATCTTTGTGAAAACGGATGCCGCTTCATCCTCCAAATTGCCTGATGTGAAGAGTGGTGGTATAACATCATCCAAGTATACACATCCATTAGGTCGCGTGAGCTTCACAGCCCAGTCGAAATACTCCCAGTGGTGATCCCAATCTGCGTCGATAAACACCAGATCGAATTTTCTCCCTTCTTCTGCAAGTTTCGGGAGAACGTCAAGGGCAGAACCTAAAATTACCTCGACGTCAAGTCCTTGAACATTTTCCACGGCAACCTCGTGATGCTTCGGGTTCATCTCCACACTCGTCACTTTGGCGCCCGCTTCGGCGAAGCGGATGGAGGAGTAGCCGCCCAGAGTGCCAATCTCTAGGACGGTCTTGGCTCCTATGAGCTTTGCGAGAATTGAGAGGTATTGGCCTGCAAGAGGCAGGACGCTAATAGGTGGCAGGCCCTTGGCAGCGGAATTTGTGAGCGCATGCTCCAACTTCGGGTTGGGACGGAGGAGAGCTTGGGCTTTGGTATCGATGACACCGGCCGATCGGAAATTATCAAAGTTAATCAAGGTTTTCATGGACTCGAAATCAATCGAGTCGCCCGCTTCAAGTTTATCAGCGCTCATAATGTCCTTGTCTTGGTGTTGTTTCTGAGGAACGTAGTTGATAAGTAATGAGAAAAAGGTGTTGAACTCTTGTTCTTTATTCTCCCTGATGAAACCCGTTGAGTGCTCTTCATACAAGGAAAAGGGTTCTCCTTTTATAGAAGTGTTGACATTTCCCGAATATCCCGATCAATACATAGAATAGTGTGATATTCCGTATTATCGGGGATATCGGGATACTACTCTCAACATTCTTCATACACCATCATTACCAAAGAATCGGCTGATACACCATAAATAAACGCCTCGGCCGAGCGAATTTCCCAGCATTCATCGCAGAACGAGGCAAGTCCGAGACTGTGACCTAGGCGGTCGCATATTTTTATCTCTTTGATGGATCAACACAGCCTAGGACGATACGCGGCTTCCCTCTACAGACAGATATTATCCACCCCTTGACATTCTTGAGTGCGGAATTCAACAACGTTGAGTTCGAATTAACAATATGTTGTTCCTGTCTGCCCTCCTTTGATCAGATAGCGGTATGGCGTTTATTGTCAGAAATGACAAGCTACCCTGGATTAAACAAGACTGGCTATAGCTGTGGCAAATAAACGATGTGGCAGCTACCAAAAGAGAGGGAGAAATTACATTTCTCTTTTTCCTAAAATAAGGATGGATGTGCTTCCTTTCTGATGCCATGTAGCTAGATATACTCTTCAATTTCTACTCGACAAGTATCGTTTGAATACATTGGATTGGTTTACACGAGCTCACGACAAGTAGATCCTCACGGCCGTGCTAACAAGTTGACAATATCAAATCCTCAGCCCTAATATTTGTGGCTTCTTGATGAACCACGGCATGTTTAAGAAGTTTTTTGGGCTTATCAAAACTCAACATCATTGTATAGGTATTGTTGTTTTCGGCAACGTTGCCGACCAGCCAGTCAGAGATAGCCCCAGTCAGCTTGGTTCTGGCCAATCAACTCAGCCCGTGGAATCAAACGAGAGCTGGCTGCCTAGAACGACCAGGGACATAGCACGACCCTGGCAAGTCTCTGCAGGCTTCTTCGTAGATATCCCCACTATTGTGTCTTAGTAAATTGCTTCGTACGGATAACTCGGTCCCAAATTCACACTTCCCCCATGTGGGATGTAGAAACACCGTTAGCAGGCGCACATCATGGTCCACTAATTCCGTTCTATTGCCAAGATTATAGGAGAACATCCAGGCAGCATCTTACATTGCTAAATGCCCTTCGATAGTCAGTATTTGGGTATAAAGGTGGCAGCTTCGGTTGCCGTTTTAAGGAGCTCTTTGATTAGTCTCCAGTTCTTTTTACTATAGTCACTTACAAAATGTTTAAGCTTCACAACGTCAACGACGGTGAGGACATCTACCAGAGATGTCTCCTCATTGCTGGTCAGTGCGAGGCATCTAACCAACAAGATACCTTTGTGCAAGTGAACACAACAAACGAGGTTGGGATCGAAACCTTTCCATCCCACCGCTGGCCCCTCTGTGGGGGCTGGTTCAAATGCCTGGTTCTCTTGACTCCAGGCAAGAATATCGTCAAGTTGAGCACTGGCGATGGACAACATACCACCGAGGCAAGTCTTTGACCTTCAACATACACGCGGGTGGCTCTTAATTCTGACATGTAAACCGTAGCTCCCGCTCACCTATATCCCTCTTACAAACGCTCCTCCCCTTCACCTCGCAATCATGGTAGCGACAGATTCTCCTCTCCTGGTAGACTGCCCTCCAAACAAGTTTGGGGCCATTTCTTCCACACACTCGGATTTGAGCGCCATGGTAGCCAAGATACGAATGGCCGCATGCATGTGGCAGGCTCTAACAGCTGAGGAGATGCGGGCTGCTGGTCTTGGCCGACGCGCTTTTCGGCTCGAGGACGAATGGGGGAGCAACACTCTGAGCCAACAGTTTTTGAGAAATCCGCTGAGCGACAATGCAACGGGCTCGACAATTAAAGTCCACATTATCCGAACTGAGAAGACAGTTGCTGAGCTTCGAGATGCGAATATTGCACAACAGAACGAGAAAGGTCGCGACAGGGACGCGCTGCACAGAATCTTTTCCGACGCTCTCAAGGCCCACGGCGCACCGTTCCAGTCGCATTCTCGTCCCGTTGTTGCCGGCCTCATTCTGGATTCCGCGTTTGATCAACAGAAGAACATGATTTTAGGTCACGCCGCCCTCGGAGCGCATAACCCAGATGGATTGTCTCTTGGTATCTTTGGTAGCCATCTCGCTTATTCGTGGCCAAGGTTCCTCGAGGAAGTCCCCGCTTGTCTCTTGGACACGACTTTGCCAGGAGACACAGTAGGTAACGACAATGGCGAATGTGCTACAAATTGGGAGGCATGCGCTGTTGGACAAGGGGCCTTTCTCCATGAAGTCGGGCACGCCTTTTCTGCGCCACATACCACCGGCATCATGGCTCGAGGGTATTCACGGGACTGGACCAAATGCTTTCTCTCTACCATCGCTTACAGTGGGCATCTGAAACGACAGGATGAGATTCCCATCACTAACGAGACCAATCACCAGTGCCACTGGGACTTTGAAGACATGCTGCGGTTCTATAATTTACCTCATTTTCAGCTCCCTTCGGATACTCCCCGGAGATCCGCCAGTCCAACTACCATCGTGGACGACGACACGGACACCATCCGCCTCATAGTACGATGCGAAGCTGGTATTGCCGCCGCCAAGCTCAACGGCGAAGACGTTGAGACCGCGCCCATTTCAAACCCAACAAAAGAATTAGCCCTCGATGTGAATGAACTGGAAGCGAGGTTTGACAAGAAAAAGCCATTAGAGCTTCGGATCTTGAGCTTGAACGGAAAGCACACCAACTTCTCCGTGTGGTCGCTACTGTCCAGCCGAACTTACATCCCCATCCCCGGAACTGGCATCAGGCTTCTTAAGAAGGGCGTCAGCCAGCCCGAGACCCACGGATCAGACTGGAGATGGGTAGTCATGCTCAAGAAGAGGAACCAGCAAGGCACCCTGTCGAGGGCTTACAAGATTGACGTGAGGGTTGGCTGCGCGCTTGACGGGGCTGAGGTGTATTTCGATGATGGGACCAAGATTCCGTGCGGCCCCCGCGGCAGACACGGGGCGGATCCTGAAATGGGCGGGCACCAAGCTCGGAAGATCAAAATCCCAAGGAACGAAGAGGTAGCCAAGGTCTTGGTTGCACACCACGGAGGGAGTTCTCTATCAGGCTTGCGTATGGTGCTATCCAATGGGAAGGCCATTGGTGCCTTGAACAAAAGTCGTTCAACAATTACGCCATTAGGTATGTCTTCCGCAGTTTGCTTATGTTTTGATCTAGGTTAGTCTAACATGTTTTAATCTGAAGTCCCCGACGATGGTCAGAAAATCGTTGGCTTTTACGGAAAGAGTGGTGAGTATGGGTTATGCAGCGAGTTTGGCATCATCACGGCACCGAGAGACGTCGAGATCCCCGACTCTGTCTATGACTTGCCTGAATTACAGAATCTCCCGAAGGATGGAAATCAGGGGGGACATCGTAATAAGAAGAGAAAGGTTGGCCGAAGCAATTATGAGAGTGGCACGGAGGGCGACGGATACACCTCCGAGGACGGCGATGAAGGCTACGACTGCGAATCTGACGCAGATGAATTTTAACGGCCATCTAAGGAATCTTTTACTCAACCAAGCCATGGCAGTGCTCTCCCTTGACAGTGTCAAGGATCAAGGAGGGCTCTAAACAGCCATTTTTAACAGTCCACGCAACATTTGCTAGCTCTTATCGCAAAATATCATTGGCATGCATCATGATATAACTTTTTGGATGTATACTTGAAATTCCGATACCACTTCTCATAGTATTCTTTTGTCCACCGCTCTGGCCAATCTTATGTTGAAGAGCTGTCATAAGATGTGAGCTAAGAAACTAGAAAATCTAGGCCAACAAGCTGGAGTAATGGTTTGGATTGTAAAGCCTTTAATTCAAGCTTATGGTTCTATCTTAGGAAATACTTTACGACAATTGAAAGTCCCCCCCGGTTGAGGAACGTAGCAACCTCCTTATCCTTGAAAAGGAGCTGTCAGCATATATCGATGCATTTTTGAGCTGAGAGGCAGGAAACCTAGATGTCTTTTATGTTAAAAGGGCGTTCTTTCATTTCTACCTGCTAGTCGTGCAGGTGATGGTGGCTGTGGTATGTTGAGCGGCAACGATTTGAACCTTTTTTACCTGCTCCATCAAGTTAAATCCAAAGGAGGATTATAATAATCCCTGTCACTAATATTCATTGCTCTGCACGAGTGATTCAGGGTCTGGTATACCCCACCGACTTAGTAATCTCTCGTGGCCTTGAATTTATATAAGAGCCGACTTCCCGCTTGGAGCTTCTGATTTTCCTGGACCCTTCTCATTATCTTCCGATTCAAGTGCCTTATCGGACTGTATCTCACTGATATCAACATGGCTGACCTACAGAGAGCTTTGATTGGAACATGGAAGGTTTTAACATATGATATGATCATATCTTCCGAGAAAGGCACTTCAACGATTCAGCCTGCAGGGAAGAACCCCCTAGGATTCGTCACATTTACACAAGATGGATATATGTCTGTCCATATGACTTCATCTGAGGCCATTGTTCCGCATAAATCTGATATGTGGTATCAAGCCACTGACGAGGAAGTGGTCCGAGCAGCAAGGGCTATGTTGACATACTGCGGCCCATTCGAGGTGACGGAAGAAGCGGGAGACTACCTTCTAAGCACCGCAGTCGATGTATCGTTGGATCCAAATTGGATTGGGGGACACCAGGTGCGAAAAGCTGCGATTAAGGAGCAAGACGGCCGCCCGCTGTTGGTCCTTCGACCAGTTCAGACATTCACCTTGGAAGTGAGCTTGCCGCCTTTCCCAAGTCATTTCCTTATTGCAGTTCTTGGCTAACTATACTATCAACAGAATGGTGATACCGCAGAAGTTATCGTGAGTTGGGAAAAGATTTTGCCAAAGGAAGACAAATAGGCAACAGCCAACAAATTTTCAAAGACCTACTGCGTTTTGTCATATAGCTAGGACCTCAAGTAGATATTTAATAGGAATACGCCTGTGCCAATCTCATCTTAGGTTTGACTTTACTTTGCGGTTTTCCCAATGGTGCTCCTCTCTGCAATAAGGTCTGCAATACTCGCGATGGGCTTGGCACCAACGATGTCGAACACAGCCATAGTAGCACCTAACTCCCTTCCAATCCAGTTCCTGAGCTCGACCGCCATCAAAGAGTCGACACCATAAGCTGAGAGGGCCTTGTTTGGCTCTACATCACTTGCTGGAATTGACATGGCCCGGCCAAGCCTAGCAGCCAAGGCTTGGAACACAAGCGCGACGCGCTCCGCTGAGTCGGACGATTGGCGGAACAAGGCGACTGCCTTCTCTACCTCGTCGTCCTTGCTCCCCTTCTCGGCCTTGCTACTACCGGTAACGTATGAGAAAGTTGATAGAAGAGGCCGATCCAAGATGGCCGGCACCGGTTCATTTAAGAGAAGATGCCTCCTTGGGTTGTCCAGTCCGAAAGGTATCTGACCCCTACACTCTTCCAACAGCGGATATTCTATGCCGGGATCGCAGCACATCGTCAAAACAGCAAGGAGATCGAGGTCGGTGAGTAATTGCATATCGTTGGCAATTTGACGTTGGCGTTGGAAGGTGAACTTCTCTGCAATGATGCCAACATTGACCATCCAGCCAATGTCGATAGAGATTGCTTTGAGTCCCCGTGAGCGACGGTAGCGGACAATTGCATCTTGGAACGAGCACCCAGCCGAGTAGTTCGCGCTGCCCATCTGGCCAACCACTCCGGCGAGCGAGGAGAACATGATGAAGAAATCAAGATCGTTGGGCAGAAGTTTGTGGAGAGTCCATGAGGTCTGAACCTTCGATCTTACAGTAGTATCCCATTGTGAGAATTTCATATTGTCTTGAAATATGGCGTCCTCAAGAGCCATTGCTGCGTTGATACAACCCCTGATAGGAGGCATCGTGGTTGAGACTTCTTCCAATAGCCTGGAAAGGTCGTCATGAGAAGCGACATCACACAGAGGGGTGATAATATTGACGCCACTTGCTTTCAGTTCAGACACCCATGACTTTGCGGCTTCTGAGGTGGCGCCCGACCGCGATGGGACAATGAGATGCCGTGCTCCTCTCCGGACCATCCATTTGATAATGTCTCTGCCAAGGCCTCCAGAGCCTCCTGCTACGAGATATGATGCATTCGGAAGAAACTTCCATGATCTCTCGTCGATAGAGAATTGCTTCGAAGATCTTATAGTTAGCGTACATAAATTCAATCAGGGTTAAAGGGAATCTTGTTACCGGAACTAGGTTATCCGCTTTGGGTGTCACAACCACCCTGCGACTGAGCTCGCCACTCTGCAGCCGCTGGAAAGCCTTTTCAATTTCAGAGACCTCGAAAACTTCAAGATCTTTCCTGGCTTGGTAAGAGCTTTCCTGTATCAGATCTACCGTATTCTGAAGCAGCTTGGCGGTTTTTTTAGGCGTTAATCTCAACACATCGACTGTTGCGAAAGACACGTTTGCTTTCATCTGGTTTAACGCAAGAGTAGTATTTGCATCCGTATCGACGCCTTTTGCACTGAGAAAGTGACCATTTGTCGCAAGACATTTCAACGAGGCTTGTAACACGTCCTGGCCGGGGAGCAGGTTGAAAACGACGTCAACACCTTGGCCACCTGTGGCGCGGGATATCTGCTGGGCGAAAAAGCCACCCTCAGAGAGGAATACATGGTCTTGCTGAAGACTCAGATTGTCTACCAAGAATCTCCGCTGTTCCTCTGAGGTGACTGTAACAAAGATTTCTGCACATTGTCTTTCAGCAATCCGAATGGCTGACTGCCCTAGGCTGTCGGCACCGTCGGTGATCAGAATTCGCTCTTGCTTTTCAAGTTGGGAGACATCAACTAGTGCACGGTAGGCAATCATGTTTGGCATAATTTCCGACGCTGCTTTCTCGAATGGTAAACCTTCTGGGATCCGGATCATAGAAGTTTCCAAAGCACGAGGATGCTTCCGAATGCTGCCCCTGGTACTCATATATACGCGGTCCCCTTCCCTGATTGAGGTTCCGCACCCAGGGCCTAGCCGGGTTACGATACCGGCACAATCGCCACCTATGTTGTCTTGATCCTCATCGATCAATCCAAGTGCTGAGTCAAGTTCTCGTCTTCCCAAACCCCAGGCATGAGCTTCGATTTCAATCTCATTCTGGCCGAGGGGCGTGTCTGCAGGTTCATCCCGGACGAATCGCAGCGAGGTGAGATCTCCGTGAGTTCCGGCAGAGAGTTGGAGCTCAGGCCCATCTCCCCATCTTAGAATCTTTTGCTGGGCGGAGACGAGGGCTCGGTGAGTCTCATTCGCCGGAACGTTTTCAACCGCACGGCCAATTGTTATCAGCCCATTCTGAACATTATATTCCAACTCCTTGCTTGGTAATTGCCCAAATGCATCATTGAAGATAGTCGAAATGATACTTGCACAACCCTCTTCGTTCATTCTATCCTCGATAGCAATGTTCACAATATGATTCTCTGGCTGCTCAGCGCGAATTGTGCGGAGAAACCCCTGCACGAGACTGTAATCTGGATAGTTTTCATCATCGTAATGTGTTCCCGTTACCCAGATCAGATTCTTTGCATGCTTCATCAAAACCTGTAAGCTGAAGAAATCATCCTCGCTGAGGTTGGCCAGCACTGGTCTATTGTTAACTTCGCCGACGAAGATAACGACAGTGTCTTCATTCCAGTTTTTCGCTGCTTCTTGGAGTAGGGCAGGGGTAAAGCTGCACACATACGGCTCCCCATACGCTTGAAGTTTGTTTACCACGGCCGTGGCCAAGTCACTCTGCTGATCGGACGGTGTGGCATCGGTAACTATAACAACTCCTCTCGAGGTCGTCTTTGAAACATCTTGCCTCGGCTCCTCAACGGCAGTAGTGACAATTATGCTCATAATATGGCACTGTTCTGTCTCGTAATCACGGATAACAAGGTCATTACCCGAGAATCCGTTGTTCCGCAAGCATCTTTCCCAAACTGACTCGTCCACAGCAGCCGAATTTGCTCGCCACTCCTCTGTTGCCACCCACCAGCCAGGAACAAGACCCGCCATAAAGTTGACAGCAATGTCACTTGGCTTGATAGTTTCAAGGAGGAGAAGCTTTCCTCCGGGTTTCAGCAACTTTCTGACATTGCGAATTGTGAACTCCAGATCCGGCGTGGCATGCATAACACTTCCAGCGACCAATAGGTCATATGTTCCTATTTCGAAACCCTGATCCTGGATTGGTACTCCCAGATCAAATGTCTTAAACGAAATTCGGTCTTGAGACACCAAGTCAGACCACAAGTTGCTGGCCTTTTCGAAGAACATCGGGGATATATCCGTGTAAGTGTAATGCGCAAAGCTGGGGGCTCCGGTGCGCTTTTCGCGCTCGCCCCACGCCTTGAAGAGATGTCTCGTCACGCCGCCAGTTCCAGCACCAACTTCAATAACCCGAAGGGCCGGGTTTTGATGAGAGGCCAGGTCAAGAACGGGGAACAGCCGCCCGTCAGAGCAGAGGCTCAGGAATAGGTTTTCATAGAACACCTTCGCCTGATCAGACTCGAAAACAATTTGAAGGGGGTCAACTTCGCCGGCCAGCATGCTTTGAAGTTTTCTCGCGCAGGCGATATAAACCCCCCAAGCCGGAAGTGCCTCTTCAACTTCGATAAGCCGTGCTTCAACTTCTTCGTCGCTGAGATTATCCACATCCTCTCTCTGACTTGGCGAGAGATTTCTGACTTGATCTTCAAGCCACTTGAAATGGCGCGACAGCTTCTGAGGAACTGTGGAGGCATCTACTGTCTTTAGCGTACGGCCCGCAACGAGACCCAAGACATTGACAAGCTTGATATGATTGCTCAAAATGAGGCTTTCATCTCGGGGGGCGGCCTGTGTCAAGCACTCTCTTTCCAGCTGCTCGTTCGTCATGAGGCTCAGCTGGGGCTTCCACTCTATTTTGTACAGCAGCTTCTTTTCCTCGTTGTCTTCGTTCCTGGAAACAGGAGAGGTCACGGCTCTTTCGATGGAACATAGTACTGTCCCATCATCAGCTAGAGCATGAATACTTCCATCCTCTCCAATGCTTGGGCCATGGACAATTGATCTGACTTTGGAGTTTGCCACCAGGCTAATGGAGTTGGTATGCGGCGACTGCCACCCGGAAGCAGCGAACCATGCCCCTTGGATCCGAATGGGAATATTTCCTGACGGCTGTTGCCCTCCGCTCAGTCGGAGCATGTGGAACGCTTGATCAAGCACAGCAGGGTGGACAAGACTGCTAGTGACATGTCTCCCCTTTGATATGTCTACTTTGCCAATGGCGACATTTCGTTTCTCATCATAGAAAGCATCTTGGATCAGTTGAAAGGTCTGTCCCCACTGGATACCATTCTTAGCTGCATCCCGATAAAATGCATCTGGGGAGATGAAGTGTTTGCAAGATGACTTGGCCTGGTCATAGTAGTGTCGAATTTCCTCATGACCTTCGAGTCTTTGCTTGCTAGCCTCAGAGGTTGTTACTGCTTCGTATTCCACTTTGAGGGTAGCCCGGAAACATTCTGTCCACTGGTCTCGGGAATACGAATAAAGAGTTGTCTCGAACCACTGAGACTCTCCAGCAACCTTTGGAGAGTTGACTGTTCGAAGACGCATTTGGGTTTCGATTCGATCTTCCCAAGTCTCCTGGATAATAACTGGGTTTTTAAACTCGGCCGTTTGGAAGTAATAGCCTGCCACGGCTTGATCTTCCGGCACAACCTGATAGACTGCCTCCATTGCCATGACAAGCATCCCCATGGCGGGGAAAAGAACTGTCCCATCAACCTAGTCATTTCCGTAGTCAGCATAATGAATCAGTCACCAAACGCGCGGTCTCAGTCTCAGATTTCCTCACTCACCACATGGTCTTTGAACCAAGGAGTTGCTTCCACTGTTAGGAAGTTCCTCCAATAAGGCTCCAAGGGATTCCAGTCTGATGCTCGAACGCCGAGGGTTTCGCCGTGGACTTTTCCACGCAGCCTGTAATCACGGCTGATTCGTGATTCCGCCCAATAGCGATGCGTTCTATCGAAAGGATATTCGGGGCAATCGAGCAGAAACTCAGAAGAGTCTGAGGGCATTCTCTGATTGACAGATGAGATAGAAACTTGGTGACCCAGACAGAAAAGCTGCCCTACAGCCTCCAGAGCTGTTTCCACTGCCGAGTGTGATCTATGCAATACCCCCATGTAACGTATTTGCTTCTTTCGGTTTCCTTCCTGTCCAATAGTATCCAATACCGGCCGACGGAGCGCAGGATGAGGGCCGACTTCGATGATGTCGCTAAAGCCGTTTAGTCCAACTTTCAGTGTCGAGGATTTCTGGGTTAGCACTTGAATTGCATCCGTAAATCGAACGGGTGACACCATGTTGCTCACCCAGTATTGGGTATTGGCCAATTCGGCGGGAAGGACACGCTTTCCAGAGACTGAGGATACCATAGGAATTTGTTCGATCTCACCACTCTCAAGGGTACCCATAAGAGCACAATACTCATCTGCAATCGCCTTCACAAATGGAGAGTGGTAGGCGACTCCAGTCTTGAGCTTTTGCGCAAAGATGCCGTCTTTGTCTGCCTGTTTTCTAATCATATCGATAGCGTCTTCTGGTCCGGAAAGAGTACAGTTTAAAGGACTGTTGATGCAAGCGGTGCAAACAGAGGCGCTGATGTCCTTTCCTTCTACTGACTGGAGATAGTTCGAAACCTCGTCTTCCGATAGGTTGATGGATATCATTGCACCAGGTGAAGACTGATGAGCACTCTTGAGCTTTCCGGCCAGTTGTCCCCGAAAATATGCAATTTTGCAGGCAGACTCGAGAGACAAAGCTCCAATTGAATAGCTATGACGATGTGTTAACAGCGGTAAATCTGGATACCAGAGAGGGTTTGACCTACGCAGCAGCTATTTCTCCAGATGAGTGTCCAACCACGCCTTTGGGGGCGAGCCCAAAGCTTTTCAGCAAATCCACCAAACCTAACTGGACGGCTGTAGATAAAGGCTGGCTATAATCGGGACTATCAATCTGGTGTTGATAATCTTCAATTGCTGTTCGTCTGTTAGCTTGGATCTTGTCACGAATTATTCAGTTTACATACCAAGGATGGACCAATCGCAACCTAATCCATTGTAAATGCTATCGATTTTACGGAGAGTCTCCTTGTATACTAGAAACTGCAACAAATCGTGGCCCATTCCAACATACTGCGCTCCTTGGCCTGTGAAAACAAAGGCCAGGTTCACATCTGCCGAGCTGCGTATTGCTTTTGCTGCAGAGAATGAAGGCTCAGCTGTCTGTGACCCATGCCTGGCAAGTGCGTATGATCTCCATAGCATGCGGCTGCGATGATCCGATAAGGTGTAAGCCAGTTTGGCCAACTTGGAACTGTCTTCGGAAGTGTTGCTGACAAAATATTCTTCATATGCTGTCATCACACGTTTCATTGCTTTCTCGTCTGCAGCACTGAATACGAGGAGTTTAGGCGGATCGAGGCCGGCAGAGGAGGCTTTCCCTGCTTTGGAAATAGCAGAGCCATTCTTGGTGTGGTGGCCGATTCCATTGCTTCCATGGTGGCCATTGAGGGGGCTATTGCCGTTCCCGTTGGTAGGCACATCATGTCCATTCTTATGGTGCCCATTGGTTGGGTTTTTGCTACCATTTGTGCCGTTGATATGAGACCCAGACGTGGTACAATGATTGCCAATCATCCCTCGATCGTTGAGGTAGCTGTAGGCATCATCGATCACCACGTGGGTGTTGGAGCCGCCGAACCCGAAAGAATTCACAGAGACTCTTCGCAGGCCGGACTTGGGCCATGCAATGCTCGTCGTAGGAACCTGGAAATAAATAAATAACTAAGTGAGGCCTTCGGAAATCAATCCATAGGTTGACCTACAATTGTGTTGTAAAAGTCGTTATCAATATCAACGTTCATCTTCTCGAAGAGGGCGTTGGGCGGAATGACTCCTTTTTCAAGAACGGCTATACATAGCGGTCAGCTTGCGTGAATAGCACTCAAAAGATATTACTCGAAGTATGGTAGCCAGTACTCACAAATCGACTTTAAGACGCTGACCAGGGCACTCGCTCCTTCAAGGTGGCCGAAATTTGCTTTGACAGAGCCACTAGTGAAAGTTCAGTCTCAAGCTGCCATCCTTCTCCGAAGTCTGATGCTTACACATAGAGAGGCTCTTCAGTGGAGCGATATTTGCGAAATACGCGTCCAATGGCCTTCATTTCGATGGGATCTCCGACTTTAGTTCCCGTTCCTTCATGTATTTTCTGAATCAGAAAGTAATCTCTACTAATTTGGATAAGTGATCAAACTTGGAGACACTTACCATGGGCCTCAACATAGCGGGTGTCACAAAGTGGTAGATTCGCTTGAGCATATACATGGCGAATGAGGTCCTCTTGGGACTTGGCACTGGGTTGTGTAAGAACTGGAGTGTGGCCGTCCTGGTTTGACCCAACGGATCGGATAACCGCTCGAATCGTATCACCATTGCGAACTGCCTCGGCAACGGGTTTGAGAACAAGAACAACAACACCCTCTCCTCTTGCGTAACCGTTGGCTCGATGGTCGAAACTATAGCACAGGCCATCGGGGGACAAGAAGTTCTGATCCGATAACGATTGAATGATACCAGGGTCCATGATAACATTGCAACCTGTAACGAGTGCCTAACAGTGATAAAAGGTCAGCTCTTTCCACAAAATATAGAAGGCTGACGATCGCATTCTTACACATGAAGCATCTCCGCTACGAATAGATTTGCAAGCCATGTCCAGAGCAGACATACTACTCGAACAAGCTGTGTTCACGTGGATGCTAGGTCCTCGGAGATCGAAATACCAGCTGACTCGGTTTGGAATGATGCAAGCGACGGTACCACCTGTTGCTGCCATTCTCTCGATATTGTCGGGGTCTCTTGCTGTCATCCTAGAGTAGTCCTCAATCATAGATGCGGAGAAGACGGCAGTCCGAGATCCTCGGAGTTGTTCAACTGGGATTCCTGCTGTAACATTTTATGGTCAGTATTATTTTGGTGAAAATTAGTGCGTATGTTCTTGGTGGGAGGAAATATTCTCACCATTTTCCAACGCACGGTAGGAAGCCTCCAAAGTCCATCGCTGCATTGGATCCATGGAAGCTGCCTCCTTAACCGTAACGGAGAAAAAGGGGGCATCGAATGCTTGGACATCATCATTCAAGAAATGCCCCCCTTTGCCGGTGAACTATGGCGGCACTTAGTGAGCATGATTATCAAGGTTATTCTACTATATATGATAGAGGCGGTGGTCCTACCTTGTGCTGCGGATTGTGTCTAAACGAGTCAGCAGTGACTCGGGACGCAGGCCACTCTGTCATGAGATTCTTTCTATTTTGTAGAACTTCCCAGAAAGCCGTATCGTTGTTAACATCTTGAGGTAATCTAAAAGAATACCCCACAATGGCTATGTCTTCTGTCGGTGGTATAGTTGTCAGCTCTTTCGGCTGTGTGCTAGTTGAAAACTCGGCCATATTTTCTCTGTGGATGTATGATAAAGTTGGTAGACAACAATACCTCGGCACTCTAGCGTGTATAGAGTACTGTATATACTTCCCATACTTACTGCCTGCCCTACCCACGCGTACATCCCTTTCATGGCATTCGTATACTTGACCTACACAGAGGAGTCACCAATCTGCATCTGGAGTCAGGGGCCCTTACAACAGCTGCAGTAACTAGGCGCTAGAATTCTGACCTCCCCACTCTATAGCGTAAGTTCTCTTAAGGTTCTCAAGGACACATATCAGCAAATGGTGTTTCTTCGGTGACAGATTCCAGACGGGGCTTCAGACTTGGTTCCGGGCCTGACGTGAATACCCACGACGATCTCGGTCAGATAGAAACTGCCAATAGGAAAGAATACCGATACTAAAGAATACTTGATGTAAAAAAAATAGGATCAACCCAAATCCTGCCATCCCAAAGTGCAAAATACCGCTGTTTCATTTATGGGTTCACGAATCTTGGCATCGCTCGATTGTTCTCTCGATAGCTCTCAATGCTCCGGCTAGCTCCATTTTGGACTTAGTACCAGGGATATCATGGCCTACATGATGATGTGTAAACACCTCACGTACACCGCCATCGCACAACCCAATCATTGCCTCGTTGAGGCGGGTCGGGTTGCCCATATCATGCTTCGCCCAGAGAGGAGCGAGCGGGGAGAAGCGCCAGAGCCACGGCGGTGGGCTAGATTCGCGGATATGCGCTGTCGGTACCTTGATAATGACACCATCTTCCGTAGCATTCATCCCAAGTGCTCGAACGTTATCATCTGTAGTCTGAGAAATGTCAGGATCAAAGGGTGGAGCAGCACTAAACAGAATCCCGCACCGGAAGCCTGCGAATGGCCTGCGTGCGTCCTCAACAAGGAGCAGAGCTGCAATCATACCACCTTCCGAAAACCCAAAAACCCCGTCAAAGGGGCCGTTGTCATGGACAAACTCGATCATGGTTGACAAAAGCTCTCGGCATTGATCAGCGTCTGGCCCATCCATAATGTAACCGTAGTGCTCGTCCATGATCCTGGAAGCGTGGTCTGGTTGTCACATGCTGGTAAGCTTACTGGGGTATCCCCAAGTGCTGAGAAGAGAATCTTCCGGGTGATCAATGTCTTTGGGACGAACCGTCAACTGGTTTCGTTGGCACCGTGCCATTGACGAAAACAAATTCGTGACCCTCGAGATGGTTCCTAAGGCTGCCTATGAATTGGGATTAGTAAGAGACGTGAGACGGAATTGGAAGGGCTTGGGCACGTACTACTTTGCATCTCCAGGGCCTGGAGGGCAATGCTGTCAGCTGATATGCTCGTATTATTCTCATGCTTGTGGCACTCACCTGAGCACAGGTCCCTCGACCATGCAAGCACAAAAACCTCATTTTACTGGTTTAGAAGTTACAACAGTTGTTCGCAGGCTTTGTTTCCCCCTTCGGCTGAAATTGATCCGACTCAATATGTATTCCGAGGGGAGCCGGCAGTAGTCAAATTCAGGTGGCTCTTATTCTGACATTGACCCACACGTTACTCCGCCTGAACTGATCATCCGACTGCATGATCCATCTTGGAGTGGATAGACAATGGAGCCTTCCTAAGTTCCTAATCCCGCGTCAGGGGTTCACTGTCAGGGGCAAAATCTGGGAAGAGAAAGTATGTTTTTCAACCCCGCTTATCAATAGGACACACCATCTGGATCTCTAGCTCCGGAGACATGGCAAGGATAATGAGAGAAAAGAGAGAGATAATTACAAGGGAGAGTTTCCGGATGGTAGCCAACCAGGTCATATAGGGCGGATCCTTTGGATCCATGGGGAAGTAGAACAGGGACCAGGATGTTGATGTTTTGCCAATTGCCATTCTCGTGCGCTATTGCCGGAAAGGAGCCCCCGAGCAAGTGGGTCCCGTCTTAGCGGAAACGTTTTTTTAAACGTCATGGGCGTTGCTCCTTTTGCAATAGGGGCGAAGGAAGTAGAATTATTATGGGAATACCTAATGCATTCTCCAAGATATTAGATAATGACAAGTCTGTTATGCATAACAGTCCCCTACTATACCACCGTGCCTCATGCTCGCCAAGCCTTGGAGGAAGAGCCTTTGTCCACTGCAGAATGAGCACCGAGTGTGGTGGAGGGGTGTGCTGCTTGGCTAATGTCGCTTCCATTTTGCCCCCCGTGTAAATATTCTGTCGACTGCGTACCCCCAATGGTTGTCATAGGTACACCATCTTCGTCCAATTTGTAGTACGACGTGGAATGGTTGGCCTCGTAATTCCTTCGGTTAGACGAACCATTGGTGCCATACCTCTCCCCCGAGGTGGGAGCGGTGGTAGCCGTGTTCATACCCAGTTTTCGCTTGATAGAACGCAGAACGCCGGTGTCGTGAAGAATTTTGGGTATACAGGGGAGACAACAAATGAAGAAACCGCAAGTCATCTCGGCGAATGCCCAAAAGCCCACAATGCCAATATAGTAGACCGCGTCGTCTGTATTGTTGACCAGTTTCATCGTATCGCTTAATCTGACCGCGGCACATACGCACGCGCTAGAAGTTGTGTCAGGAAAGCGAAAAAGAAAAGAGAAAATGCCGCTCAAAGGGGCAGGGTGAAGGTATCACTCACAGTAGACCAAGACCGAAGACAATCGACACCCCGATTTTCTTGGACGTCTTCAACTTAAGTTTCCAGATAATATGCTGTGGTAGTAGCAAGATAATGATATCAGATATCAAGAAAATAATTCCCGAACTGATTTGTATCTTGCTAATTGCATAACAATCACCTTGTACTCGAATATCCCAGATGGCCCTATGAGGCTTGCACTGAAGATTCAAAGCCAGCACAATTCCGACGAGAGCAGCAGCTTGAACGAATATCATGAAGCTACATCCCCAGAAAAAGACGCTTCTTCGGTCGAACCCTCCAGGCACGAAGATGTTTATCCACTCGATGAGAATTGCTATTTTCAGGAACGGCATCGCGAAGGAATAACATTGCCCGTAAATGTATACATTCTATTTATTCCAACGATCAGTAATTTTCTTCGTCGAAACTGAAACATGAATCAAAGAAGCCAGATAGGGAAGAATAGCAATGCTCAAAAACGGAGAGTTGAGGTTGACTCACGTAGTTCATTGGAATGACATCACGTAAGAGTACATTCCACTGGTGAACGAAAAATCCAGGAACTTCGATAATCTTGAACATAGCATAACTGCATCCCCAGAATGCTCCCTGCACTTATAGTTAATTGACATATTCTCTATCCAGAAGGCTTGCAGAGAGGAGCAGAGAGGAGCGGAGACGGTGACGAACAAACGCGAGCAAGATAAAAACTAGATGTGTTAGTACCGATTAGAAAAAACCACAGCGCCCGTGCTTGCGTCTTGTATTTACCTTCTTCGGCACTGAACTTTCTCAACAGAAACACTCGGGCATAGCCGCGAAGTACCAGGCAAACAGTTGATATCACCTGACAGAGGAGTAGAACTCCCCAAGCCAGTGCATTGTTGTTGGGAGGATTTTCGAAATTCGCTGTGACGCCCTCAGGTGGCAATCCGGCCGGTAAGTTCAGGTCTAACGTTGCCATTGAGTTGTAGAGTAGTTCGTCGTTCGAAGCACCGATTTCGGAACCTGTCTATTCCTTGGAGAATCTCAGTCGAACAGACATCATCTCTACACTGGATGTGAGAAGAATTTGAATGTGGATGCATATTATCAGTCTAAAGTAACGAAACGGGAAGCGAGGGCAGTTTCGGTTCCGGACTGGGGGGTGGTTTGGCTCGATAGGGGGTCCCCTAAACCGGAAACCTTTACGCTGCTCCCAAAGGACAGGTAGGTAGTCTTACGAACAACACGGGATACCTTAACCTCTGTGGTCCGGGGCACCTGATCCGGACCAGCTACCCCTGAAAGCGTGGCAAAAGGATTCAGTGGATGCCACAGTTAATCAGGGCATGTATCATGTTACATAGTGCCGGAGAATGGAGTTACATTGCCTACTCGCTACGGCTCCGCAACTCCGATTTCCATTCCCAGTAGGACCGTGTTCTCCCTTGCATTTTGTAGGACATGGATGGAAACTAGGTGACATGGAACGTGGCATACCAGCGTTAAATTCGATATCATATCAAGACAATTAATACATTTATTAAGCACAATATTAAGTTCAACATTATAAAATAGCCCGGTATTCTATCATTACCGTTTGTTGTATTATTAATAAGAAAATAAGGCGTCTCCCTCATGTGAAAAGACTTCCAGTGTGCCATGTTTTATCTCAGTCGCTTAGATGGATATGCAGATATATCTGGTTAATCAGCTCATTTAACCGATATGTTTTGATCCATGGCCGGTTCCTGCTGCTGTTCATCGCGATCAGATGAGATCGTGCCTGTGCGGTCAGTGCAGCCCTGGAAGCAATGCCAAACATGCCATCGTGACGCCATTCAGTCTATTTTGTGCATTGATCAATGCAAATTATAATTAATCATTAAAAATTAGAGATGCCATAAGTTATCTTAAATATCAATATGACCAAATCACATATGAGGAAATAGAATGTTACATGTAGAGTGTCCTCTATTGAGGGTGCCCATCTTATTGGCCATTATGTAGAAAACCCTTGCCTCAAGATTCGAACATGTCACGGCCCCAGGACGTTCGTGCCTGGATTGCTCTCTTTGTGACCCTGGCATCCGTCGCTATGAGATCCGAGCCATGGAACGCACCGCCAGCAACATGCACCTCCACCAGGCCACCAGCCTCCCAAATACGCTGCGCAAACTTCGCCGCGGGCCTACGGAACAGTTCAGCACTACCCACGTCCACCAGAACTGGGGGCAGTCGGCTCAAGTCCTTGGCTCTAGCTGGTACCACATGGGGGTCCTGAGCAAAGCGAGAGGATTTGCTGCCCAAGTACTGTTCCCAAGCCATTTTGTGTGTCTCGGAGCTCCATGCAGGTGCTGCCCTACTGCTGAAAGTCGTTTTATCATCCTCATCAACAAGATTGTCCAGCATCGGGTAGTGCAAGAGGAGGCCCTTCAGATGCAGTCCGCATGAAGGCTTCCGGTCACGAACCATTAATCCAAGGGCAGCAGCTAGACCTCCTCCGGAGCTTGATCCCCAAACAAGTATTCTTTTCGGATCGATTCCCAAAGTGGCAGAATTCCGTGTAGCCCACAAAAGGCCAGCATAGGCGTCTTCAGATGCCGAAGGAGCCTTGTGCTCTGGTGCGAGTCGGTATTCGATCGAAATGACAACAGCGCCCAACTCCACCGCGAGAGGATAGGTGATGTCGATGCCCAGGAAGCGATTTCCCATAATCAGGCCGCCCCCATGGATATAGTAGATGCAAGGACGGGAAGAATTAGAGTGTGTCGTGCTGCCGGTAGGCGTAAACACGGAAGCGGTAACCTCGTAGCCGTCGTAGCTCTTGAAACTGTACTCTTTGTGCGAGATTGGATGCGTAGCGGTCATGGTGTCCTCATTATACAGCGTCGCCTGTGCCGCCCTGAGCGTTGGGATCATCTCAGGCGTCAACACGGCAGGCACAGGATATGCACCATAGATGAGGGCGAGCTCAGGATCAACCCCTGGTGCGGATTCTGCGCGAGTAGACATTTTAATCGGTGTACTAGAAACCAACAATGAAAAGAAAAATGACGATGAAAATAGTGTTTTCAACGATGGGAACATGATGAAAACGGGTCAAAAGACAAAAATGAGTGACCTCATGCGTTTTAATACAACGAGATAAAACCCGCAGGTAAGGAATGAATGTGACCTTTTGGCCAAGGTTTGCAGGGCAATGCAGCTGGACAAGACTGTTTCACCTAGGAACGTCTGTTATATAAAGCTCAATCCACAAACTCTACACCTCCTCACTATGTATTAGTGCGTAATTTATTCTGCATAGCATGCCTGTTCTTTTGGAGATGCTATTTAATGACTATTAGACGGCATAAGATTGTGCTTAGCTAGAGGCAACCGGGGCAAGGATTAGGGCCGATAATCATTTTGACTCGTTCTGGCTTCCTAAAACATTGGTACTGGGTTTTTAAGGCTCAGTAGCTAATCATACCAAAGTGCCAATGTGCCAATTCTCGTGATGCAGGTTGGAGTGGGGTACCAAGAGCCGTGATCCTGGTAAGAGTTAAGCACACCCTGTCTTATTACATATGAAATATTACCACAGTCACATCCAAGTTGCCAAGCAAGGTGGCACAGCCAACTGTGGGCCATGATCAGGAGCTGACATACGTTAGTGCCTGAAACTAAATGTAGACAATCAGCAGACAGGGACGTCTTGGGGAGTGCTCGCCGGAACCATGATTGGCCTTATTACGACGCCAGTTTATCTGTCCGGGGCAGTCTGGGTGCGTCATGCTAACTGAACGAGCCTAAACATTGCACAGCCCCTACCCTGGTATGGAAATGCCCTAATTAGAGGCGGCCGTATGGCTTAACTGGGTAACGACTCGCCCGGCTGATGGTAGCAGCGCTCAATAGTCACCCTGGAGGCCCTTGATGGTCATAGTCCGTTACACAAGGTAAGAAAGAAACCCTATTTATTGAAGAAAACAAATTTTGAAATGGAAATATAGAGAAGTGGATAGTTGATATATTAAGTTCCAATTTTGTTCTTTAGATAGCCAGCACCTAGCCCTAAAATTCGGGTTTAAAACTGAATAGTAATCATAACTGTATAATGAATCCTAAACTTGGCCAAGACCTAACCCAAACCTTACATAACCAGATAGCCAGTCAGTGGTTGAGGCCCTCAACAACCACCTTTCTATCAGACTCTTCACGCCCAGTAGGCGATGAGAGCCATGAGAAAGGCACCGACAAAGAGAAGGACACAGGCCGCCACACGCTTCCCACCACGCATCTCATACCAGCTCTTCCTGCTCAGAAAATCCTCTGAAAGGAGCTCAACCAGTGCGGCATAAAGCAGGAACCCCGATGATACAGCATTGAAAAAGCCGACAACCGTGTGGCCAATCTCGGAGTCAGGGCTGTATAGTGTGTGCGTGCCGATGCCGATTGCCTGGCCGGCGGGGGTTCTGTTGACTGGTATAAGTTGTCTGCTAAAATATTGGGAGAAAGGCATTTGAGGAACACCTACGTGCAGCCGTAGGCTACGGCCATGGCCCATGGTCGCCACGAGCTGCTGCTCCAGCCAGCGTCGGCAATTCGTGATCCAAGAGCCAGCCCTTCAAAAGTTTCTACGACGGTCTCAGATTAGAATGCTAAATCAAGTATCTAAAATGGGATGCATGACTTACGATGAAAGATGATGGCAACAAAGAGTGATATAAAACCGCTTCCCGTCGTGACACTCAATGTGAGGCCTACAAAGATGCTGTGAAAGATAATACCCGCTTCTAAGAGTATCACTTGCACACGCTTCGGCAAGTCTGCCTTGTCCATCGGCACAGGATGAACTTCTGCGTTTTTACTCTGATCCATAGTTCTTTGAGATGACTCGCAGCACTCAGCTACCCTTGGATCCGAACTCTCCATGAGCTCGAGCGTGGACCCTCGACGGAAGGGGCTCACGAGCATTTCAATCGACATCACCACAAAGACAGATGCAAGAGCTATCGCGCCAGGCATAGCCTCGTATGTGTCCGTCCAGAACTTGTTCATGCAAGGGTCATGTAGGTTGCTGAATGCCGTCGGCAGCAGGTGGCAAAAAGCTGTTGCTATCAGAACCCCCGTTCCAAAGTGACGAACGATGAAGAAAAAAGTATTGGGTATTCGTAGAAATGAGAATTTAGTCGCGAAGATCGGGAATGCGGCTGCCATGGAGGAGACTGCTAAGAGAACGAAGAGAGCTGCGACATGGAGGCCGAGATTGTATTCAGGTGCATCATCGCCCGCTTCCTCGCAGATCTCGCGCAAGGCGAGTAGTTTACGTTCCCGAAGGCTGCTCGCGAGATTCATAGCAGCAGTTTTTGATTATGACTGGTTGGTCCAGAAGTCGTGGTGTTAGGAAGATAGTGAAACTTGATGAATTTAGGATTGTTATCTTGGGAAGGATATTACTGAGCACGACTTTAATAATATAGCCATCCATATCTATGGTAGGCGAGCCAAAGAATCCAACCAGAAGACACCCGGATGGCTAGCTGGACTTCCATTTGTGAACTATGGACTGTGGAGCGACTCGAATTTTGTCAACACAAGCGGCAGTGGTTTAGGATCAATAAAAAAGTAGGTAGACAAGTTCACTATCTCCACGAAGAATTAATTGCCTCACGGCACGAAATCCGATATTTATGGATATGATAGATGACGCTTGGCTCAAATCAAGTACCTTGATGGTCAATGTCTAGATGGACATGATAACTCAGCAAGTCATTGAGGAGGATACTAGCAGACAGTGAACCTTGATGGGCACATGTCCTTAGTAACCCTAAGCAGATTGCACAGAAACTCAAGCCTGTAGAGCTGGAAAAAAAATTTATGCAAGAGAAATTTACTTGTGCGCATCTCCTAGCCATCTATATCCTGACACGCGCATTCGAATATGGCTACAACAAGTGACCAGCGCGCTGAGAGTCCTCATCCGGAGACGGCTGAACCTGAAGTATCGAGTACAGCTCTACCAATCACCTTGCTGTCTGGATTTTTAGTAATAAGCTTCCCTTTTTGTCAAAATTTAGGAATCGGTGTTCTAATCCTTGCTGGCAGGGAGCAGGGAAGACTACACTTTTGCAACACATCCTCAAGAGTGATCATGGCCTTCGTATCGCCGTCATTGTCAATGACATGGCAGGGTAAGAAGTCCTCCCAGATGTTGGTCTTCTATGCCCATCGCATAAATTGCTAATGTCCCGAAACCCGTATCAAGCATAAATATCGATGCTTCGCTCATCAGACAAACCCACCGACTGAGAAAGTCAAATGAGAAGGTCGTGGCCCTTCAGAATGGATGCATATGCTGCAATCTCCGTGGCGACCTATTGGAAGAGCTTCTAGACCTATGGAAGCTCCAGCAGTTTGACTATGTTCTAATTGAGTGCAGCGGTATCACAGAACCAGAGCAGGTTGCTGAGACATTTGATGCTCGTCTTACCGAGTATCTGGAAGGTACCGGCGAGGGTATAGATCAAATAACTCTGGAGACCTTGAAAGAGATGTAAGTTTAGGACCCACGACATGGTTCACAACGACATGACACTGAGACCGTGGATTAGCAAGGAGCTGGGAGGTTTGGAAAAGATTGCCCGGATTGACACTACTGTCACTGTCGTGGATGCTTTTAGCGTGCTCGGAGAGTTTCAAACAGATGAGCTGGTTTCAGATCGGCAGCAGGTCGAGAAGAAAGACGAGCGGACTGTCTCTGATCTCATGGCCGATCAGATTGAGTTTGCTGATGTGATTTTGCTAAATAAGACTGACATGGTAAGTCTAGGTTCTGCCTTCCACACTGCCTCGGTAACCTCCCCTACTAATGCGTTGGGCCTAGGTGGATGACCATACGAGAGGTCGTATTTTGTCACTGTTAAAACAGCTCAATCACCGAGCAAGAGTAGTGGAAACTCGCTACAGCAAGATCGACCCGAGGCAGATTTTGAACACGGGATTGTTCAATTTGGAGGTGGCCCAGACAGGATACGGGTGGCTCCAGGATTTGCACGCGATGACTGTTCAAGAGGTATGATATTTTTCTTTGTTCAACATCCATATTCATTAACTTATGAGAATTTGTTAATGATCTTTAGATAAATGGTGGGAACGCAGTGTCGCTCAAACCGAAATCGCAGGATTATACCGTGCAAAGTTTCATCTACTCTCAGTACCGGCCTTTCCACCCCAAACGACTATTTGCTTTGGTTTATGATAAGTTCATCTTGCAGTTGGAGCATCCTAGTGATGAAGAGAGTGATGACGAGAGAATGGACGAAGACACTGACGGCCAACTTGAGGAGGACAGCGACATGGCAGATGCCCTCCACAACAAGTTCCTCATCCCGTCAAATGAAACCATCATGATCAATAAGCGCAATCATCCTATTCTCTCCCCGCTCTTTAGGTCCAAAGGTGAATTCTTTCTCGCCACTCGCCCACATAGGGCTGGCGAATGGTCTCAGGCGGGATCGATACTCTCTCTCACTGGCGGCCGCCCTTGGTTCTGTACGCTTTCACCTGAGGAATACACGACTGGCGACAAAAGCGTGGACAGGCTGGTGCAGCACGACATTAAGAAAGGCGGAGAGTGGGGAGACCGTCGTCAGGAGTTGGTTTTCATTGGCGAAAACATCAACCACGAAGGACTCAGAGGCCTACTCGATGATTGTTTGCTCACTGATGAAGAATACGGGACCTGGCAGGAAATTATGAGAGATACTACAAGAGATGACGAATCGAAGTATGAGGCTCTCGAGAATACTTTTGAGGATGGATTTCCTGATTGGCCAAGGGATGAGGATGACGGCGAGCATGATCACGATCACGCCCATGATCATTGCGGCCATGATCATGGCCATTCTCATCACCGTGGTGCCAACTCAGGCAAGACGACCCTGGCAAATAGCGTGTAAACAACAAAAGATCTTCTAGAATTTTAGGCCTTTAGGAGATCGCTCTAAAAGTCTGGATATAATTTCTACTTGGGAATTAACTGGAAGATCGATCTTAGCTCTGAATATCAAGAATAGGCATGTTTAAAAGAAAAGGTAGGGGGGTTTAATTGCAAAAGAAAACATAATGGTTTTTTTAGGTATAAGAGGTAATAAGAGATGGCATTCTTCATGCCTTTAGTTCAAAACAAAATCTTTCAAGTCTTGATAACTTTTCATATGTTTCAATTTTATCTCTTAGTCTTCCTACTTTTACTCTACATTTCACGTGGAAGTATGGGAAGCAATTCCAACAGCTTCATTCTATGAAGCCTTACAGTTCAACTTGAAGGAGCTCTTGGGCGTGAACAGACGTCACCTACTTTCGCTGAAAGACAATGTAGTATATATGAAACTTTGTAAATTTGAAGTGCCACACGGTCGATCAAGCTTAAGGCACAGTGAGTCTGAATACCCGTTGCTTCAAAACCAGCAACCACTTCGTCGAATATAGCGACAACCATTTCCGCCAAACTTGACCAATACTTCCTAGGATATCCGGGGTGCAAGACTAGAAAGTGTACCTGAAGTGGGGATTTTTCTAGTTCAGTTAGCTATTAGCCATTCGGTTCGAGATGTTTAGGTCTTACATTATCAGCGATATCCTCAAAAGCGTGGGCGAAATTAACGTCATCGACGACTTCTCCGCTAGCAACCTTTGCGTCTCGCTGCTTATTGATCCAGATATAATAGGTTCGGAGCGCAAAGAGAACAACCTCGAGAAAGACGAAGCAACCCAAGATGATGGAAAGCGCAAGAAAATATCGAGGAGCATCCTGGTCCCGGAAGCATTGGGGGCCAATGGCGTTGCCCACCGCCCAGAAGACGAAGTTACTGGCAATGACAGCGGTTTTCTTCGTCTGACCAGCCACGTTTCTGGAGACGAGGGATAGCGCCAGGCCAGAGCATGTCCAGAAGGAGTAGATGATGTAGTAGGCGATTAGCAGCCCGACCCTCTTGTCGATGTGAAATGGCACGGAGATGAGAACCACAACACCAGCAATTGTTGGCAGCAGACCAAGCATCATGGTGAGAATCGTTTGCTTGAACTTCCGCTCAGCCCAGGCGGATGTTAACATCACGGTCAACATAACAATTCCAATTGGCATCTGGAGGAGTTGTGTCTCCCAGGTTGAGAACCCGAATGACTTGACCAGAATATTGGCATATGCACCAATTCCGCCCGAAGGTAGTGTTGTGCATACTTGAATCAGAGCAAAGGCGTAAACTGCCATAGTTAGTAAATCTTCTCCCATTCTGACAATGTTCAAAATAGCACCGATTACCTTGAGGGTCTGCGATTGCATGGTATATTTGCTCCTTGCGGAAAACACGGTTCTGTACACCAGTACGATTTTCGCGGACTCGCTCGATCATCAGTTTCTTGTCCTCTTCAGACCAACACTTGGCCTTCATCGGGGAATCAGGCATCCAAAAGAGGACAAAGAAGCCCCAGAAAACCGTCGCAATTCCGTATGTCATGAATAAAGCTTGCCAAGACTTGATTGGGGAGTCGTGAGGAACGAAGGAGAAGGCGAATGCGGCTAGGCCGCCCAAAATCTGCTGCAAGCCGTTCATCATGTACCAATATATAATCGTGCTGGCCTGTTCTTCCTTTTTGTACCTGTTGCGTATTTAGAGGTGAGTAAATATTCTCGACCACCTTGTTTGAATAGGACTTACCAAGTTGACGAGAGAAGAACGAAGGCTGGTTGACACACAGTCTCAAACAGCCCCAACAGACCACGAAGGGCAAGAAGGCCGCCGAAATTAGATCCGACCGCGTGCAAAGCGAGGACGGCTCCCCAAAGAATAACATTAATCGAAAGCCACTTTGCGATTGGGACGCGCTGAAGGATCCAGTTCTCCTAGAAGAAAAGAAGGGTTAGATCTCAAAAGTCGTCATGTATTTTTCATATTGGTCAAGATGCAGAAGACAAACTTACTGGATATTCTGCAACCAACACAACCAGATACATGATAGTTGTGAACCACGAATACTATAAAACTCTTAGCAGGTATTTTCGGTCTGCGGAACGGTGAAACATACTTGATTGTGTCCAAGCTTCGTATCATCGATAATCCCCATAATGGAGGCAAAAGACATGGTTCCTCGGTCGAGTGACTGTGTGAAGTACGTAACAATCATGACCACAAGGATCCTCTTGTCAATCATCCTCTTGAGTCGCTTGTTCTCGGCATCGTCGATATGAACTCTATTCCCACCAACGTACTGGGCAACTTCGTTGTCGACAAGGCCTAGGTTGGTTTGGTTCTTACCAACCTCGCCATCCTCGACGTGCGTCGGGTTGTTATCGCCGTCCCCTTTCATAGTGTTTCAAATGTGTGCTTGGATGTAGCTGAGGAGAAGGAATCGAGAGCTGAAATTGCGGTTCTGTCAGAGTTCAGTGTCGAGAGCCGAGTTTGAACGAGAGAGTCGAAGATGGCGACGAGCCGTTTTATAACCAAATAATGATGAACGGAACTGGCATGATGGAGGTATAAGGGGTTCCAGGCCTTCACACCACGGAGGGAAATATCAAGCCCCCACGGGGAAGAAGAGGTGGAGAGAATTGGGGAAGGGGCTGGGTAACTCAGAGATTTCGTGCTCATGGTACAGGAAAGTCGCTCTGGTCCAACGCTGCACTAGTCAACCTCCATCGCACAGTGGACTTGATGGTAACCTGGTATGAAAGGAACATGGCTTTGTCAAAATACCTTCTACTGACCTGCATATTCCGCACATAGGCATTTGGTCTTCTCGTTTCCATTTCTAATTCTTAAAAATTGATCACAGTTTCAGTCTATGTCGATTAATAGATTTTTCTTTAACAATTGGCTTCGCTAACCATCTCGTAGTTAGACGTGCCATTCAGACATCTTTCCACTGTGTGGGCCTCTAGGGTAACAAAATCCATCGCGACAATTCAAGCGCGCCATTCTCCCGAAACCGCCGCTAACATTGACTATCCACCCCTGGTTGATCAACTGGAGATGGGAGACACTGTTTGATTGGCTCATCGGTCGTCGCAAAAGGTCGGATGGTTCAATCTCCCGCCTCCGACAGCACGAGTCGCACGACTCCAAACCAAGGCCGTCTTGACCCGCAGATTCTCCCTCCAAGTTGTGTTGAATGCGGAGACATCCATGACAGGACGCTCGCTGGTGTCAACACTGATGAGTCGTTTTTCATGGGTAAAGGAGTATTAAAATGGGGCCTAGTTTATTCACGCGTTTTCTAATTGTATTTCTCTTGTCTTCCTAAATTAAAGCCTGCATTTTGTACCGAGGTGTAGCAGAGGCTATTAAAGTCGCTACTAGCCACCCCTGGCGATTCACGAATGAGGCTTGATCAGAATTTCCACCCAGTCTTTTTTGCATATTGCAGCCATGCTAGAGGAGAAGATAGTCGAGTTTACCCCCTCCGATGACCGGGTCGCAAACCTTGTTGGCGCAACCATTCTGGTTGACGAGCACGACCATCCCGGTGTCAAGATCGCGGCGCACAATCTTTCCCAAGACTTTGCTCGCGTGACCAAAGGGGACAAAAATCCTATCCTTGTTTCAAGTAATTCCGAGGAGGTGAGCCTCAAGGTGGCGATTGTCGTCGGCTGTATTGATTCCAGCCCTATACTGCAACGGTTGGAGAGAGATGGCAAGGCTGACTTTGCGTCGATTCGTGGTAAATACGAATCATTCTCTACTTGTGTGGTGAACCGGCCTTTTGGGGATGGATCAAATCATGCTCTGATCATTGCTGGCAGTGACAAAAGGGGAGCAATCTTCGGAATTTATACCTTGTCTGAGCAGATTGGGGTCTCACCGTAAGCTATCAATGCCGTTTACCGAAGAGTTGGATTGACCGTGTTATAGGTGGTACTGGTGGGCCGATGTACCTGCAAAGAATTACTCTGCAATTTACGCAAGCCCAAAATCCACGAACCATGGGGAACCAAGCGTGAAATATCGGGGAATCTTCCTCAACGATGAAGCCCCAGCACTGACGGGTTGGGTCCTTGAGAAGTTTGGCAAGTACAACTCGGAATTTTACAAGAAAGTTTTCGAACTCTTGCTTCGACTCAAGGTGAGTACATCTGGGGATTAATTTGCGCGACCTAACAGATCATTTCGTACTAATGAGTGCAGGCCAACTTTTTGTGGCCAGCAATGTGGCCTGGCTATCCCAACCCTGGTGCCAACTTCTTCGTAGATGACCCCGACAACCAGCGGATAGCTGATGAGTATGGAATCGTCATATCAACATCTCATCATGAACCCATGCAGCGCCTGTCAAATGAGTGGTTTCAAGATAACCCCGACGGGAGCTGGAATTGGGAGACAAATAAGGAAAATATCACCAAGTTCTTCCACGAGGGAGCAGAGAGAGCCAAAGATTACGACTCGTACTTTACAATAGGCATGAGGGGCGAGTATGACAAACCGATTGGTGGTTCTGACCCGGCTTTGATCATCTCCGACGTCATCAAAACCCAAAGAAAAGTGATTCGAGATGTCTATGGGGGCGAGGATCAAGCGCTACGTAAGTTAATACCAAGCTTCTTAAACCACCGTGAACACCAATTGACATAAGCCCTAGAGCTTCTTGCTTTATATAGAGATGTTGAACAGATTTACGATACGGGACGTATAGAGATTCCTGATGATGTCACGCTGCTTTTCCAGGATGACAATCATGGCGCAATCCGTCGACTGCCCAACAAAAAGGAGGCACAGAGAAAGGGGGGATCTGGTGTACGTGAAATAGCCTCCCATGTCCGTATTCTTCTAACGACGTGTAGCTGTATTATCATTTTGAATACGTCGGCTGGCCACGCAGCTATAAGTGGACTAATAGTGTGTCTCTGGTATGTTTCATCGGATGCAGACTCCAACTTTTATCGTGCATTGGTAACTAAAATATGCGATAGGGAAAAGCATGGCATCAGCTTCAGCACGCGTACGCTCGAAAGGTTCGTCAAATTTGGCTCTTCAATGTTGGTGATCTCAAGCCTCTAGAGACTCCAATTACATGGGCCATGAGTCTAGCATGGAATATTAAGAATATCACCGCCACCGGTCTTCGCGACTTCTTACGTGCGACTGCAGAGCGAGACTTTGGTTCCCAGCTTAGAAATGAGATTGGTGATATCTACTACCAATATGATCGCCTCGTTTCGATGCGCAAACATGAACTAATCGAACCAGAAACATTCTCTGTTTTGCATTACCAAGAAGCTGAGAAGATCTTTAGCCAATGGACACAGCTAAGAAAAGAGGCAGAGTCAGTCTACAGCCGCCTCTCAGAGGAGCAAAAGCCTGCAGGTTATCAACTGATCCTCCACCCTGTTAAATCCACACAAGTGTTCATCGAGCTTCGCGTGACACAAGCACGCAACACGCTATATTCTCTCCAGAGACGCAACACAGCCAACACAACGGCTCAACATGCTCTTGACTTATTTGACGCTGATTTTGATATCCAACTTGAGTTCCACTCGCTCCTAGGCGGGAGGTGGAATCACATGCTGCGGCAGACCCATCTTGGATTCGGAGACACATGGCATGCTCCATACCGAGATATCATAACAGGTCTGGGGTTTGTGCAGCGTCGCCAAAATTCCAACCCAATCGTTGGACAGATGGGAGTATCCGTTGAAGGCCACGCAGGAATTCGCCCAGGGCTCATCAATGAGGAGTCTGAGCGTACGCATCCCAGCCGCCGTGATCTCGTGCCGGGGTTGACACTTTGCGAGATGAGTTATTATGGCCCTGCTACCAGATGGTTTGAGATATGGACTCGCGGTACCCCTACCATTCATTGGACAGCCTCAACGCCATATCCATGGCTGCGGCTCTCTCAGTATTCTGGATTTCTGGTACCAGGCCGACAGGATTCTCGGGTCGAGATATCTGTGGATTGGGACCAGGTTCCCGATGATTTCGATCAAGAAGTTTTAGTCGACATCCACAGCGGCATTGGAGACTTTGAGCAAGTTCACATTCCAATCAAGAATAACCGCGTGCCTGATTCCTTCACGGCGGGATTTGTTGAGGGCGCCGGCTACATTTCTATTCCAGCTTCAAGCACTGCTTCTGTGCCTGGCTATATTTCTCTGCCCGATACGGGGAGGACAGCATCTGGGTCAGTTGGCCTTGATGTGACGAAAATTGATGGTGAGGAAGTGGGGTGCTTCCTCAACTATCCGTTCTACCAGTTCTCGGCATTAGCTACCGCAAAACTTACGCTTGTCTTCGGCATCACACTTAGCACATCGAACGAAGATGTCAATTCATATGACCTACAGTTAAACGAAGGCCCAACATCACGCCATAATCTTGAAGAGTTTACGCAACAAAGCATTCAGGACGGCCTAGATGACGGCATCCCTCGAGCCGATGGGTGGAAAAAAGCAGCTTCCGACCTCGTTTGGCAGAGACATCATGAGCTAACCGGAATGAAGCCCGGGGCTCACACGCTTAGAGTGAGGCTGCGCCATCGGAATATCCTGCTGGAGAGGTTGATCATTGATTACGGTGGTGTTCAGGAGAGTTACCTTGGTCCCCCTTCAAGTTTTAAACTAGAAGCAAAATCATGTGATATAATTCAATGAATTTGTAATCTTAAATAGATAAACCAACGAGTAGGGTTTGACCTCTGACGTTAGGTCAAAACTCCTTAAGAAAGACCGCCACCCGCCTTCTTCTAATTGTACACGATCTAGTGAGTTAGGCTGTATACATTATGTTCCATGTTACTTTCTGATGAAATACTGATAAAATAACAAAACCTTGCGTGATTTTAAGAAGCAGTTGTCACGCTACTTGGACCTTGAGATCGCTCTGAGACTATGCAGGGACGCGTGTGTTTCTTTTACTCCACAATAGTTGTAAACGGGTGGTGTTCTGCCCCATCAAACTCCAGACTATACTAGCCCTCAATAGGTGGAGTGTTGGGCGTATTATTACTGGGCTTTGTATATAAGTCGTCGGGGCCGCACTAATTCGCCGTCCTCATTCCTCCACCTCCGACCATCAGCCTCCATCTCCATGGATTATGCTGCAACAGGATGAGTTCGTCTCCATCAGCGGTTAATGCGGTAATCGACGCGGAGAAGCCTTCGTGTCAGGAATGTCGTCGTCGAAAGCAAAAGTGTTCTAGAGATGACCCGTCATGTTCGTATTGTCTCCGACAGGGTGAGTGAATTGCGATTGGCCCTTGTATTGCCTCTGAAAACATATTGATCCCAGAAGATATCCCTTGCGTATACGATGCGAAGAAAAACAAGCCAGGGCTGAAAGTCGGGGCAGTCGAAGCTCTCAGCAAACGAGTTGGTACGTTTTCATATCGCAGCTCTTGTTAAGGTTGTTGGCGGCCAGCTGACGTCGAAGTATCCCAATACAGAAATCCTTGAGCAATCCTTTCACGATCGAGAACAACAAGAAAAGGCTTTGAAAAATACTGGCCATGGTGAGCTCTCAGAAAATACCGCCCAACTCATAGGGGCCGTAACTGCTCTCGTCTCCGAAATACAGGGGATCACAACGAGACGGAGTCAACCGAATGTCTCAGCGGCCCCCATCAATTCAATTACGCCCCAAGACTCGGGAACCCATGACACCATTGAACAAATTCATGCCCCTAAAAGAAGAAGATTATCAACTTATCAGTGTGTCTCGCCTGCTTCTAGTAGATCGCAGCCACGAGCCGACTTGGCCGATGACCAAATCACCCACGATCTCGTAGACGAGGCCGTTCATTTATACTTCGCCAAAGTCTTCTATTGGATTCCTTTGATACACAGATCTCGCTTCAAGGATCAAATCAAGTTGCCGGAAGGAAGAAGGAGATTGAGTGTCGTCATTGACGCCATACTGATAGCGACGCTACGCTTTGTGGATCGTCACAGGCACTCACTATCTGAAGAAGACATACTGCGTCTGACAACTGAGAAGAGGAAATCCGTGCTTATTGCTGCCATGGATAACCTGAGCATCGAGAACTTACAAGCGCTTGTTATCTTGGCGTTCACTGACGTAAACCTTCCCCAATTCCAGATCGAGGCTGTCGCTTCTCTCATGGTATTGCTAACACAGGACCTAGATTGGCCACGGAACTCCAAACAGATCATGGTCAATAATTGGATCAATGACCCGAAATGCCGAATATTTGCAACTGACCACAGAAGAATCTCAACGAAACAAAACCAGCACAAGGCGTTTGAGTCCACTTCCGACGACGGACGATTGGGTAGAGCAAGAAGAGGGGAGAAGAATATTCTGGAATATTTTTAATCTAGACAGGTAAGTGAGACTTCTACCGCCGAAGATCATACTAGTGCTAACCTTTCAAGCAGATACTTTTCTATCACAACCGGGTGAGAGGTCCTTTTCTTGGCCACTTGCTTTTCGCGTCTAATCGTTTTTAGATGGGATGCCATCATTGATGCAAACAAAATAAATCTTAAGTTACCAGCCAACGGGAGCTATTGGTATGCAGAAGAGCCAGTCGGGTGTCCGTACTTTAATATTGGAGATGACTCGGGAATTGAGGTTTGCAAATAATGTATCCCAAGCCTTCTCAAGTATACTAAGACAACTGAATAGAAATCGGACAAGTTTTCTACCCGTACCGGCGATCAATCTCGATCTGACATTCCTGGGGATGCTGGAAGTCCTATACTGAGCAACGAGTCATCCGGCGGATCTTGGCTTGGTGGCTTCGCATATTGTATAGAAGCCTCGGAACACCTTCGTCGGATCTCGACATTTGTACTTCAAAACGACAACTTTGCCAACCAGAAAGATGTACGATCTTGGTTGACCCGTTTCAAGGAACTGGATCTTCAACTGGTCCAGTAAGTGACCTCGATCCTCGTCCCTTTATAGTGCTAACATATCGGTCTAGTTGGAAGATGTTTCTTCCTCGAAAATGGAGCGATCCAAATCGTGCCCCGAACACTTCCACCGGACCCAGAGATTTGGACCACAACATGACCCTTGCGCATGTCACTCATAACACATCGATGATACTGCTTCATCATCGCATCGCATATCCCCCCGCCGGATGGTGTCACAACGTTCCTCTGCCCAGCGCCTGTAGCGCAGAAACATGTCGACTAGCAGCCACCAAAACCAGTAACATTATGGAGAAATGGCTCAGCATCTGCCCAGAAGAAATCATTGTGGCTCCTCAGATGGCCCTATGCACGTTCATTAGTGCCCGGCTTCTGATTCGTGAGTGGGAGTCTAACTTGATCAATCATGCCTCTGTTCTAACATCGGTTCCAGTTCACTGGCGAAACGATAACAAGAAACTCGATCCCGAATTTTGGGTTCTTGTTAAGAGCCTTGAACATATGTCGAGGCGTTGGGAAGGCCCAAGAACAGGCAGCATAGAACTTCCGCCTAACCTTGCGGGCAAATACTCAATAAACTTATGGAATCTTTATGAGAAATTCAATGCAGAGCCGAACTTTGAGATCAATCTGATTTACTATCAAGATGATCTTTTTTACTCCGGAGCATCGCATACACCGAAGGACATTCCCGATCGAAATACGCAGCAAACACACCATCTTGGAATTAATGACGCAGGATCTTCACAAGAAGCTCCATCAATTCCGAGTGATCTCGTTCCTGTTCCGTTTGATGATGCAGCGGGCCAGCTAGTATCGTCTTCGCACCAACAAGATTCCTCATCTGGGCGAGCCCCAAGCTCTTCCACGATCCACTTACCACTGCCAACACCATCTACTCATGAAAGCACTCATGTCACTGTTGGAAACGGATCATCCTTTTCTATGAATACCGCTAGTCCTTATCCTCCAGAAGGTCTGATGGAGATTTCACAGGCTCTGATGGATCAGAGATTCTCTGAACTGGATCGAATCATCACTTTAGACGACTCATTTTTTGAAGCAGCCGCATTGGCACCTAGCATGCCCTTACTTCCGATAAGTGAGTGGAATACCGAGAACATAAATGGGCAATACTATTCAAATGGTGGAAGGTCAATGTAGTTCTCAGCAGTCTGCGCCTCACAACATGTTATTTGATTTTGCGGATAGAGGGGAACCGTGTAGTATATTCGCAATTTTTTGCTCTTGCTCGAGCTGATTCTAAGATTAAAGAATCAGTTTCATGTAGTAATATGACCACGCTGCGAGACTGAAATCACCGCCGGAGGCGACCATCCAACAATAAATTAGTCAATGAGGCCGAGAAATACAGAGACAACTTTAAGGTGAGGGAACAAGTGCTGATCCTACGCCAGACAAGAAAGTCTGGGGAATTTTTGATTAATAGTTACCAATCATCGGCCTTGGAGTTTACTTGTAAGGTACAGAAGACGGGGGGAAGAGAGTAAAGAGTGATTCATAAAGTACTTTCTTGTTGACCCTGATGTTTAGGAACATCTTACAGGGCGAGACCCTGGCTTCACGACACACTATAAATATCCATTTTCCCGTTCTTAACTAGGAAGTTGATCCAAGAGATAATATTGAAAGACATGTGGCTACAGCTATTCCTGTAACTAGAAGATCCGTAGCTAGCCGTAGCCGGAGCCCTGGCCAGGCTCCGGCGAAACCCCGGCTAGACCCTATGTAGCTAGGCCCTAAGGTTACACCCACAAGGTCGGGCTACTTAAGCCCGACCAGCTAACCTAATTAGCTTAGCTTTCTTCTTAGACCAGACATCAATACAGCTACCTGACATTAGCGAGGTGCCTCAACCCAGTTGCCTTCCAACAAGATATCGATGACAGCCATCTTTCAACCCGGTGATTATTCACTCATCTTAGATCAGTCAGCGTCTAGGCTCCCCATGGATCCTGCTCCAAACCTTAGCACTCTGACTCCAGAGATTTTGCAGCTCATCATTGAGCACACACACCCCTCAGGCCACCGGCCTCTTGCGCAAACGTGCAGGTACCTGTATCAAAACAGCCAGCATGTTCTCAATCTTCACCGCGACGCGCACAGAAAGTTTAGAGTCACATCAGATCTAGACCCAATTATCGTTTTCAACCTCCTCTGGAGCGCCTTCAGCCATGGCGTCGCTCATATCGATGCGTGGCATGTCAGGGAGTTCGAGGTTTGGGGCGAAAGGGACCCTGCCTGGGGAGAGGACTCAGATGCGGAACCGGATGCAGACGAGGCCTCAGAAGTGGACTCGAATCCTGCCGAGGCCCCACCACCCCATGAAGTGGGCGAGGCGCTTCCTTGGTCGCCTCCTGAGTCTGATATAGAGTACTTCTGCGAGCAACTGCTGAAGGTACCGGATTTCTTTCCCAGGACCAACGAACAGCAGTGGGGTAATCGTGTCCGTTATGGGCTAGAAAGCGGCCGCGAGATCATCACGAAAAGCCTCATGTTGGTCAATCTGCCGCGAATCCGGGCCATACGTTGTGCCAAGGCTGGTCTAGAAAAGAAGTATCCAGGTGTTCAAATGTTAAGTCAATATATCTACTGGTGCAAAGATGCTGGGACATGGCTGCCGGGATTAGAATCGCTCGAAAAGATATCTGTCTTTACCCCCCCCGATCATTGGTGGTACCCGAGAGTGAATACTCGTCCAGACGAGTTTGCCGCTCTACTATGTCTTCCGAACCTGTCTGAAGTATACTTCGACCACATGGATGGAGACTTCGAGCTTTCCAACATGGGTTTGGATCTGTTCACCAACAGTCCTAAAGCCCCATTCGATAAGACATCATCAGTCCGGACCATTATCCTCGATCATCTAGAAAATAGCCTCAGCGAAAAATTGATAAGCTTTCTAGCTAAGATGCCCCGGGCACTTCAAAATCTCGCCATCCGTTTCGACGCCACCAATAATTATGAGTCGCGTCCAGCAAGTGCGGCGTCATTGGTCGACGCCCTCTCCAAGCATCAGTGCAAATCTCTACAGCGGGTCTGCTTCGACGCCGAAAACCTGGCTATCGGTCCATACTTTTCGAATAGCATAGATCCAGACCATATCCGCAAGTTTGATGAGCTTCGAACGGTCAATTTGAGCTGGCCGGCTGTGGAAATGAGCCTAGCTGCAAGTGGAGAAAAACTGTCTCGAGAAGAGCTTTTAGGCCGTCTTTTAAGACTTTTCGAATTCTGTCTCCCGCATCAGATGGAGATCTTGTGGCTCGTTTCTTTTAAAGAAACTGGCGGTGTGTTGATGACTGGGGAGCTTACCCGCGGCGATCGCGAAAACTTGGGATATATCGACGAGGCGGTTGAGGCGGCCATCAAGTCGAGGCGATATGGCAACCTCAAAGCCGTCATATTGAACAATGCTCAAGTATCGCTGCATGACATCGTCGGTGGGGATTGGGATTTCCCCAAGGCCGCTAAAGCGGCGGAAGAGAGGGGAATCTTTATTGGCCTGTTTGAAGGCGACATGATACCACCTGATCTCCGTATTTACGGCGACTTCTTGCCAATACCGACGAGAAGTTGCATGGTGACGGGCGGGCTTAGGACAGAGGAAAGATGATGCATTCCTTTGACTGCAGGAAATCTTGAAGTGCTTTACATGAAAGGATCAGATTTAAAGGGGTCAGGTTCGGGATGCTCAAGTTTTGGACTCGTGGTTATGGCTTGATGTTTATAACTAGGTACCTACTATCTTGTAATCTAGGTCCCAAACAACAGAAAGTTGGAACCAATCCTTCGTTCATTCATCTAGCCAAGTGTTAGACCCCGTTTACCCATCTGATCTCATGGTCCCCACGGAAGCATATTGAACTGGTGCGACCCTGAAAATCCCGCGCCAGATTCTCCTTGGTGAGTAGAGGGCATTGATTGGACAACAAATGTTCGGCGTTACAATTGCGGGTGGAAACTTTCCCCAATCCGAGCAATGGGCGGAGCAGGATGATGTGTCCATTTTTATGCCTCTGCTGCATCTCATGTCTGCAAATGCGCTTTGTGTCCGTTGGACAGCATTGCAGCATGAATAACAAGTGGCAAATGATATTCATCCACGATTGGTGTCTTGAGCCCCCCCGGGTTCGCCTGTAGTTTTCCCGGGTCGGGTAAAAGAATGGAGATTCTCTCATCGTTCCGAATCGCTGCAGGGGAGATTATGGTGCTGAGTTGTCGCCGCAGAATTGATTGCTTTAACTTATGCGACGGCTGCAATACATGGATTTGACGCGACCTTTGCAGAAATATTGCAATGCACATGATGGAGTCGCCGAGGACCACGAAATTTACAGGCAAAAAATAAAGAAGCAAATCTACTTCAAAATTTTGGAGACTGAATTATAAAAAGGCTCAAGATCACCACCACTGCCTCTCACCTCCTCAACTCACTACTCATCTCTTCCACATCAACAACCAAACCAAACAACCCTTTTCACCCACCAATCATCAATATGTCTTCGTGAGTTTTCCCCAAACAGATTTATCTTGAAATTAGAGATAAAACTCGATTCTAATGAATTCCTAGCGCCGGCAAGCCTTTTGTTGTCCCTCTGCCCACCTCCACTGGCCTTTCCGAGCCTGCTGGTACGTTTCCTTCCCGCTCCAAAATTGGCATCTCATCATGATCAAGAAACCAAGGTTCTAACACCTGAAAACAGGTCAGCTCATCAAGGGTGCTGCTGAGGCTGATGGTAGCCTCCGTGATGCCGCCCTTCTTCTGGGCATCAAGCTCGACCTCGAGGCTGAGGTCCACTTGACCGCCCGTGTCAAGGGTGATGTCGTTGTCGGCCTCTACTAGACAAGACGCACCATGTTTCCATCTGATAGATGGATGGTGATGGGGTATCTAAGCTCATAAAAGACTGAAAAAAAAATTCAATTTCCTTAACAAACTGAGCCATCTTCTACTAAAGTGACTCCCTGATATTCTTGAAGCGAAACATGAGGACCAGGAGAGGATAAACGCCTGTGCGCATCTCTTGACTTGCTTACACTAAATTTCCCCTCTCCCATGACAACATGTATCAGGAGAGGACGAGGTGAGAGGTCTAGAGTATTCGCATTGGCTCCTGCTCTAGCAAAAACCTCAAATGTCGTCCCATTACCACACATCGCTACAGCCTAGCTGGTGTCTAGGTGCATCCCGCGTACGAGGCAGACATTGATTGGCGAACATCACGAGATGTTCACTTTTTACTTCGGCACTGGAGTTCAATGTACCAAGGCTGGTTGCTTTCCTATTCTCTAGGCGTTCAAGAACGAGACGACCGTTTGACTGAATTGTTCAAATCCATCGATGAAACAGACGTGCCCTGCATCCTTGATAACGACGAGTTCCACCTTGTTTGGTCTACCCGTACAAGTGAAACCCTTCTCCATCTCTTCACTCATTGTTTTCATAGTCTCTGGAAGATTGGCGTCCTTCTCTCCAACGATGCAGAGCACGTTCTCGACACTCGCACCCACTTGACTGAATAATGGACGGAGATCGAAAGACTCGCTCCTCAGCGCGTGGCAACACGTTTCGAACCCGTCAAGACTGGTGTTTAACATCAATCTCTTCAAATGAGAGCTTTCTTCCGTACTCCTTTCCAAAAAGGATTTGCCCAGCCACCGTTCCAGTGTCCCTTGAATAATGTTGTCCATGCTTCCGTCCCTCCGAGCAGATTCTACACGGGGTCCAAAGGGGTCGTCAATCCCCGCATTCACAGGAGAGCAACTGATTGTATCGCAAGCAACGAACCTCTTCACCACTTGCGGGTTCTGTGTGAGAAAGTAGAACCCAGTTGCGGCTCCCATGGATACGCCAATCCAGGCGTGAAGATGCTGTATATTTAGGGCTTCTAGCAGATCGCGCACGTCCTTGGCCAAGGATATGAAGCTTGTTGCATTCAAGTCGTCGGGTACTGACGACTTTCCGTGACCAGGTTGATCGTAGCGCAAGGTACGGAAGCCATTTTGATTGAGAATATCCCTGACACGATGCCAAACTGTGAACGGGGCACAAAGTGAATTTGCCAACAGCACGACGGGACCATCCTGTGGTTCTTCGTCAAGGTGGTATGACAAAGTTCGTGAGCTAGGCAAAGTGAAGGTGTGCATTTTTGTATCAATGACCCAAGTTTATACAAAAAGAAAAAAGAAAAATCAACTAGAAATTCGACAGGACAAGCTCTCGATATGTTGGGCACTTAATGTCATATTACGATAGAGCTTGAAACAAATTATTCGTAAGCGAGAAGAAGTGGACGGCATGACTCTGTGCTGTATTGGATAATTGAAATATGAAACACGCTGAGTCTAGGCAAGGATGGATCTGGATTGTAGCCTGCGTTCCATAGCCGAGAGGGATTGGGCTCCATAGGCTACGGAGACGTGTCCTAGAGAACTGGCGACGAATATCCATTGACGAACCAATACCCATCCAAAGACTTTACGCTCCTCCATGATCATTCCAAGTAGTCAATGGCAAGAAATCTGCGAATGTGGTCCCATAAGACTTTCTCGTGAAATGATATCTTGGTATGTTAGTGACTTCTACATCCATAAGCAGGTTGGTTACTGCCGAGTTTGATCTTGACTAGTAAACGGATTCTCTACATTTAGTAGATCCTGCCAACAATCTGCCAGATAAGGGTCCATCCCTCCAAAACCACCATCAAGCATCGTGGGGTAGTCAAGAAACCCACCCACATTCCGACTTATCAAACCAAAGGCTGGGAAGGCACTGGTTGGAGGCCAAGCATCGAACTGAGGCCAACTGTTGTCTCTATGCACGTCGCTTTCCAACATTTGTGATGGGTTCCCCGGGATTACCTCAGTCAGATTGTTTGTCGAGCAAGAAGGAATCATCTGTTCAGTTTCCATGTCAGATGGGCGAACAGGTGATGGGGGTCGCGAAGGCCTTGCGCTGTTAGCTCGTTTTTCACTGAGCTTTTTGAAGAGGTTACGGATCCAGCCTGCAGCGAAATACATTGTCGATAGTGGCCGCATGGCGATCATACAGAGACTAAGCTGCTGCTCGGCCTCTTGTCCTCGGATAGCGTGGATTGTCATTGCACCAAACAGAGCAGAGGTGCTACAGGAATACATTAGTTACTCACACGCCACTGCTAGGGAGAGACCGGAAACCTACAAAAAGAGAGGACAGTCCGTTAATGAACCGTGGTTCATGATTGTCTCGGCTACTCGTGCAATCTTCCCCGCTGCCTCGACAGAACACTCAAAGCTTGTACGAGAAGCCTCCTGTGAGTCCGTGTTATTGATGCCCGTCCGCAGTGGACCTCTCTGGATGAGGAGAACTAGACAGCTACAAAAAGTTAATGTGAGTTCAATGTTCATGCTGATAATGCATCAACGTACTTGAATAACACCTCTAATAGCAGCCCTTGAAAGGGAACAGCGTCGAGGCCTCGGTAGCTCCGACAGTTTAGAAGTGATGGGAGTTCATCTTTCCACATGTTCACTCGTTGCATGAGACTGGTTCTGCTTGCATCCCGCTGAGCTGAATCATGTGGAGACACAGCGAAGAGCTTGGATATAGTAGTACCGACTGGACCTTGATTAGAAAGCTGAGTAGAGAAAACTTCGGAAATTGCGACGCACATAGAATACTTAGCCTTGCCTGCTCGATCACAAAATATTTTGTCTGTTCAGAGTCGCCTTCCTCAAATTCCCCTAACGTCAGGGGCTCTACATCACAATCCTCATCTCGAATCATCAGCGGTTTTCCCAGAGCACTTGCTATTTGTCGGTCTCTGGTCTAGATACATCTGTTGATTAGTTCTGGCTCACTTGGAAAAAAGTGCAGTTCCATTTTTACTACTCACGTAAAGACACCACCAAATTCGCTTCCATAAGCGTTTATCCGCTTCGGGTAGCGAGGATGACTGGGTGCTCCGATGCATACCAATGTTTTGAGCCATACGTATCGCAAGTCCCAACCACGTCCATGGATTCAAGGTAGCATTAGGGCCCTGCCACATGTTATGTAGTAAAAAGGCTGATTGAATATAAGAAAGCTGATCCACCGTGCCGTCGTCGTCATTTTGAAAGAAGATATGTTTTGCTCGCCGGTAGAGAGAAATAAGACATGCTTGTCGGCTATCGAAGCCAGCCCGGTAAATGATGGGGTCAGGAACGTGAAGTGCTCCGGCATAGAGAACGGCAAGGTGTAGGCAGGGATCAACAGTATGAGAGCGAGACAACTCGCTGAAACGACGGTTATCCAAGACTGGGTATAAAATGTTGTGCCGAGAGAAATATGATTTGATAAGAGCCCGTTGGATATCGGCCGGGAGATTTGATGCATTGGCGGTTGAAACTGTAGTCGTTGAGGATTGGGATTGCAGCTGTGAGTCGGGAGAGGTATGATTTTCGATGGGCACTGAGACATGAACAGCAGTTGGAGATTCAGTTGAAAGTCCGTTTGGAGATCCGGCCACATCAGCCATGCCCTGGCGTTGCCGCCCTTTCCATTGCATTACATATGCAAGAGTCCATGGCTCGCCAACGTAAACAACGCGTTGGCCATCCGATGGCAGCCTGGTCTGATATGAAACAACCCTGGACCATATGTCGGTCTCATCTGCAGGCACTTGTTGGGAAGTTGAGCCGCTGTCTTCTGTCTCCTCTGGAGATGGGGGGTTTTCTTCCCTTTCGGTCTGCCCGGAGATGCTCTCGAGTGGTGTGAGAGGTCTCTGGGGCATTTCTGGTACATCGCGGGTTGAAAATCGCCCATTTCCACCTCGTACGCGCTTTGAATTGAGTATTTGGCACTCAAGGTCCAGATTGGAGGCGGTGCAGCCTGAACATGGAGTGCCGATAACGGACACATCGCACCTGACACGCCGGTCATGGCAGCGTTTGCAAGCTATGCGACTCCGGCGCTTCTTCGTCGCCTTAGGCGAAGAAGGGTCGGTATCTCGCATCATTTTTGATTTGTAGCCGGAGATTACGCCAGGTTGGGGGGCGAGGGCAAGGACCAAATCAAGCTCTATGAATACAGGAGGAGGGCTTCAAGGAGAGTGTCTAAGAGAAATGGGATCGATCATTCCTTTTCCCCACACTCATCAAGCGACGCATTTCATCCTGGTGCGGAGAAGCGGGGATTGCATGACATTAGCAGCAGCTAATATGATCACCGAGGTCATAATGGTTGCAGTCGTTGAACTAACTAAATTAGCTGCTTGGCAGAGGGGAAAGCGAGCTCAGGGTGGTCTGTACCCTGCTTCTCTGCTTTTCACACAAGATAAAGAGTTGGTTATAATTCTTATTATATTCTAGACAGCTAGCCAGAAAGCTTCTGAGCCCTCTCATCCATGACCTTCTTAATTCCTGGACGGGCGATCATAGCATTCATCCACCGTCTTACGTGAGGAGCCTCCCGATCTATGTACTCTGGGCCTAGGATGATCCTATCTGCGCTTGTATTCCACTGTAGAAAAGCGATATCTGCAGCCGAGATGTGGTGACCAACCAGCCACTCACGCTCTGCTAGCACACCATTCAGGACTTGGAGCACCCTTCTCGTCTCAGCCTGGTATCTGTCGACACATTCCTCTGGCTTTCCGCCTTGTACCTTGATAAACCAGACCGCTTGCCCATAATATGGGCCTTGTCCAGATGCCTGGAAGTAGAGCCATTGGCGCAGGTATTGTTGGTTATCAAAGTCGGAGTAAGAAAGTTTGTGCTCCATGTCATACTTGGCCAAAATGTACTCAATGATAGCGTTGGATTCCCAAAGAACAAAATCACTATTGCCATGATCAATGATAGCAGGAATTCGCCCATTTGGGTTCAACTTAGTGAACTCTGGGGCCTTCTGCTCCTCTAATTGCTTTAATGTCAGCTTCCCTTTGAACCTTACATTTGTATCCATAGAGAACAACCCACTCTTGGAGAAATCTAAGAAGATGGTATCATATGTCAATCCCAACTCTGAAAGAATCATGGCGACTTTCCAGCCTAGTATCCCGGTTAGAGCTTGCATATTGGGGAATACTGGCCTCCTTTGCCTCACCATTTGGCCCAACGACGGTGGAGTAGAGTGTGAACTGAGGCTTCGACATGATTGGTAACGAAGGGATGTTTTGGAGGATGTAGATGTTCAACTGTTAAATTGCAACGATAACCTGAATATCGATGATTCACTTGAAGTCCTGTTCTTAGTCCTGACGAATCCTGCTTATAAGTGCCTCTTAACCAGTTCTCTGAAAATGCATCATTGCCAGTGTATTTAGAAGAATGATTTCCTGCATCCACGGGGCTCAAATCAATCCTCGTAACTTTTACGGGTAGCTGGTCGGCATAATCTTAGGCCGTAGGCTATCCGCCCCTCGGTTATGGTACACACTCCATAGCCTACGGTCAAGCTAGAGTCGGTCACGACACCACGTGCTTGGGCCAGTTGTGGGGTTGTCTGGGGATGCACTCCACAGTCTAGCTAAGTTTGTGGAGCGACTCCATGATCAGTGAGGCATGGCGAGATAGGCAACCGTGATCTCTCTTTTCAAAGCAGCCCATCGCCCCCGGAGCCCATACTGTCATCATCTATCAGTTCTTATATCCCTTCTTGTCATTATTCTTCCTGGTTCCTTAAGTCCTATACTATTGAAATTGCGAACTTATCACTCAATAAAAATGCCTTCATCCGATGTTGAAACCAACGGCCACGGCTTAGCTATGGAATTCGCAAAGGCCAAAATCAATGGAAATCACCAGGACAAATTCTCAGACCAACGTATTAATGGAGGAACAAACGGCTCAGAAAATGCTCCCAAAACAACAATTCCCAAATTTGACCTCCCGCCTGAAAATCCAGGATCATGTGTGGCTGGCGGTATTCACACACTCTCTCTTTTCGCCCTTGGCGGGAAGACAGCACTGGTGACAGGAGCAAACGGCGGGATTGGCGGGGGTATGGCAACAGGTCTGGCAGAGGCCGGAGCTGATATTGTCATTTTCCAAATTCCTGGAGAAAAGTCAGACTTTCATCAGGAGCTGGCCGAACGAACTGGGCGCAGGGTCTCGGTATATGATTGCGACATGGGAGACATGAAAATGTTACGAGAGACTATCCAAAGGGTATTTGACGATGGACACAGGATTGATATCTTGTGTAATGTTGCCGGGATATCATCAGGTTCAATACCCATTTTGCACGAGACGGATGAGCACAAGGATTCGGTATGTTAACCCTGCTCCACGTAGTGATGACTTGATGCTAATTCTTTCTAGATAATCCAAATTAACTTCAATTCAGTGTGGGTGTTATCCCAATGTGTTGCGCGGCATATGGTTCAGCGTGGTAAAGGAGGAAAGATCATCAATATCTGCTCCTTGGCAGCTCACAAAGCGATGACAACATTTTCTGTCTACGGACCTATGAAGGCAGCAGTAGGACAACTAACAAATGCTTTTGCTAACGAATTCGGTCCATACAACATCCAAGTAAATGCAATTTATCCCGGGTAAGTTGACCAATTAGCTCAACAGGGTCCCTTGAATGCTGACGAATACTAGATGGATCGCGACTGCGCTCGCTCAGCGTTTTATCAACGATGAGGAAGCAAATGCCAAAATTATCAGCAGTGTCCCTTCACGGAGATGGGGAACTCCAGAAGACTTCAAGGGAGTCACTGTGTTTCTAGCAAGCCGAGCAAGCGACTACGTAAATGGTGCGAGGATTTTTCTAGATGGTGGCGCACACAGCATGTGAAGAGTAGCACTACCTTACCTTGTTATGATATTTAATTGATGATGGCTTCTCTAAACTCCAAGTATTAGAGCCTCTGTGAATACACATGTATGGAAGAGAGTTCGAGTATAAAGTTAAACAACAATAGAAGGAATCCACATGTATATAGCTCCGGTAATGATGAAATGATATTAACTTTTTCCTCGCATGATGGCATTCCATTCAAACATATTTCCTCTCCCCCTTCTGCAAGATAACTAAGGGGACCCATTACGAACAGGTACCTAGAGGCTACAAATTTGTTCTTATGTCCTCTCTTCTCATCATTACATTCGTATGAGGCAACAAAAGTAACATTGAAGCAAATACAACCATTTGAAATATCCAATCTTCGTTCTGTCTGTTTCTACCCCTCTTTCTACAAAACATCTGGCGTTGTCAAGATTTGCTCATTAAATTTCGGCTGCTCGTCAACTTCATCCAATAAGCCCATCCAGTATGTAGTATCGCGCCCATCAAACTCCCTCAAGGAGAAGCCATTTCCCAAGAATTCCCACCGATTGTTACTCATATACTTTATTTCAAAATCTTCATATCGTGGCTGAGACAACAGATCAAAGAAGTGAACGCGAGACCCCGGGTACATCGTCAGAGTACCGCTAGGGTCACCCTTCTTGAACCAAGAGGAGCAGGGATCGCTCCAGGCTGTGCGTTCCATATAGAGGTCATGATGTTCCTTAAACGCCAAGCACGGGCCTCTTTTGGGGGCAAGGGACTTGATCTTCTCAATCTGCATCTTTTCGATGACCTTGCACATATAGTTGGTCAACTGCTCAATAATGGGCAACAGCGAGCCCACGGCAAGAGGACCATGCTTTGCCACATATCAGCATCCGGGTTGTCAGGATGAGGCTAAGTGTTCACTTACCGGGCCAGCAAAGCAAAAGTAGTTGGGGAAATCAGGAACACCAACCGCCAAATAAGACAGAGGCGTTGCCTTGGTCCATTCTTCTTGCATGTTCTTACCAAAAGCCACAATCGGAAAACGTGGGACCCAGGAGGTGTCGAAGCCGGTAGCACAGACGATAGCATCAAGTTTATGAAGACTCCCATTGTGCGTAATTATTCCATCTTCTGTGATTTGCTGCATCTGCTTCGTATGAACTGTCACATTCTCCTCCACGAGTGCCTCAAGAAAGCCCTCGCCTGGCGTCGGACGTCGGCAACCAACGGGAAAATTCTTGGGAATGATGGCATCGGCAATAGCCACATTATTCTTGAGCTTCATGCGCATCTCCTCTTCAGAAAACTACCGATTCTGTCAGTAATCATTAGCGCCAATGGGCTTATTCAACTGTGTACCTGTCTAGCTTGAGTCGCTTCAGGTCCTCGCTTCATCAGGAAGCGGAATCGCTGGCCAATTTCAGCCTCGATCATTTTGCGGTATTCCAGGTACGCTTTCGGCTGCTCTCTAAGAATCTTTTTCTGCGCATCGGAGTCTAAAGGAGCGTTAAAATCGAATCTCAAATCCCCAATAGGCCTCACGTACATTGAAAATTGCCCCCGTCTGGACCTGCGAATCGTTGCGCAAAGCCTGCAGTAATCCAAGTTGGAGATTTCACGAAACAGTGCATCTCCTTCACAAGAGGCTGTACATTGGGAACAACCTGTGCGGCGCTGCTGCCAGCACCAATGACGGCAATCTTCTTATCCTTCATGTCATATGATTGATCCCAACGGGCAGTGTGAAGCAGCTTTCCTTTGAAGGAATGAAGCCCTTTGATATCCGGCCATCGCCAATTGCTATGATCTCCAGTAAGTGAGTGGACAAGTTGGCAGTATAAATGGCAAAACTTACTTGAGAATCCCGCCCCCGTTTAAGAAAACGTCACACTGCTCTTCAAAATCTACCCCATCAGGTCCCTCGATTGAGATTTTCCACTGGCCACTGTCTTCAATCCACTCAGCACCTCGTACTGTGTGGCTTAATTTGATATATCTCATAAGCTGATACTTATCAACTATCCCTTCCAGATATTTCCAGATCTCGTGTCCAGAAGAATAGTATTCTGGCCAGATATGAGGCTCCCATGTGAATTGGTACGACACTGAGGGAATATCACAGGCAACTCCCGGATACCTATTTTCATCAGCTGGTGGTCGCACGATACGAAGTCTCATAGGACTTACACATTTTCTAGCCAAGTTCCTCCAATTTCATTATTCTTTTCGTAG